GGTGCAGAGCACGCAAGAGCTGCGCGTTTCAGGGTCCCTGCTACTGTGTCTGTTTGCGTGGGTGGGCTGGTGAGACTCATAGAACCAGGCGTGATGGCCATGTACTCGCGCGCACCTCGCGATGTGTCCGGGGCGGTGCGGACAACAGCTCCCCATGTGGGTCCAGGCGTCTACGCAGCCCCGACCCGGGCGCTGCCCGCTCCTCAAGGTATACATGCTTCCAAACGCAACACCATCTGCTCAGCTCGTCATGGCCTGCCATGAGAGAGTCGGTTTTTTTGAGGGGGGTGCTGGCTGGTCCAGGAGGACAAACCCCAAATGAGCCGTGTGCCCGCCGTCTCCTCATTCACCCTTCTCATCACTTGATCAGGCGAAGGTTTTGCCCCTTTTGGATCCTTGCGCACCCGAAACACCATTTTTGCCGAAAACACCCATGAGGAACGGCCCTCGCCCAATGCATACGTGCCCCGCCTCTCACCACGTCAAGGCGTTTCCTTTGCTAGCCAGGTCGGTACCTTTGGGCCGCCCCGGCACTCCCATTTCTTCTCTGCCAAAGAATAATTTGAATGCAAACTCATATGCTGGCTGCGACCTTGTCTCTGTTCTCCATCTCACCCCCTTTACCGCCTTGGCGCTGTCACGCTTCAACAGACCCCTCGCTTCAAAGGTTATGAAACAGATTCGGTGCCTCCCGGCGTGTACGAAACGCGGCGCCCCATTGGGAAGACGACCAACGCCTCGGCCATCTCCATCAATGGCCGGCCCAAGCACACGCCGCGCATCAAGTTCACCCGCTCTGACCAAACCGCAAGCATCCCGCGCAAAGAGGAAGTATACGGCTATCACGTTGACAAGTCGGGCTCCCTTCGCCGAACCCGCCCCAAAGTACACGATGGTACCCAGCTTGGACCCGGTGATTACACTCCTCAAAACCTCAGCCTCTCCACCAACCGCACCATGCATGGCACCAAGTGGTCCAAACAGAGCCAGCGTCGCAGCCTACAGCTTGATGTGCGTGCTGGGCCCTCGCCTTCAGAATATACCGCCCCTCCCGCCATCGATGGTACCGCCCGCCAGCCCCATCCGCACGCCCTGGCCGCTGCCCCCTTTGCCACCTCCGCGTCCCGGCCGGCCAACAACGACCGCGTAATCGAAAATGAGCTTCGCCCTGACCCTAGTGCCTATACGCTACCCGATGACATTGCCCTGCGTACCCGCCGCCCTGAAAGCCGTGACCAGGTGTGTGCAGCACGCCCGTTTACACCACCACCGCCACAGCCCTATCTTGCCCTCCTTCGTACATCTAACCCCGCACTGACCCTCCTTGTTCCCCATCCGCATTAGCAATTCTTGACCACAAGTCAGCGATTCGTCGACCCCAAACCTCAGGCGCCTCCGCCGGGCGTGTACGACCCCGTTGTTCGCTCCCTCGAAGTCCTGGACCGTTCCAAACGCGTCGGCGAGGCCCCGTTCCTGCACACAGCCTCGCGTTTCGAGGAGCGAACCCCCATGACCCATGTTCCGCCCCCAAACCAATACCCCAGCATGTCGAGTAGCTTTGACAACAACCACACCGGCCCGTATCACATGACCCACGCCTTTAATTCAACCGGGGCCCGTGTCCAGCCGCTGTACAATCCATCCGCCCCTGAGGGACCCGCGCCAGGCGCTCACCATGCCGACATTGACGGCACCGGCTTCCGGCCCGCTACTGTTCATGGCAGCAACCATCACAACATGGTTCCTTTTGGAGTTTCGTCAGAGCGCTTTGCCGATAGCGGAGACGGCCTACCAGGCCCCGAATCGTATGTACCGCCCTCGGATCTGGGTCATCGCATGTCGCGAGGCTTTGGCCGAGGCAAGCGCACTGACCTGCCCCTGAGTAACAGTGCTGCTAATCCAGCCCCCAACACGTACACGGCCACAAACACCGGCCGTCGAACAACTGGGGGTGTGATTCCAACCACCCGCCGAGCCCCCATGGCCTCACCCTCCCTGGCCCCCGCGCCCGGCACATATTCAATCACAGCTGGCCCGATCGGCGACCCCATGAACAAGGTAGGTCCTCGGGCCTGACTGAATCCCTGAATCCAAGCCATGGTGACCACGGTCCCGAGTGTCCACTCCCTCCCTTGTGCGCGCGTGCTGCTTGATTGTCTTTCTCTCTCCTTTCCATCGCCTTTCCATAGAAGTCTTACAACGTACACTTTCAGCCGCGACCCACCCAATCACGCACCTCCACTCGGGCGTCGAGCCGTAACATGCGGCAAAATGTCTCTAAATCCAATGCTGTCTTGCAAGGCTCTCGTGCCGTTTCCCGCTAGCAGAGGATTGAGTGCTCGTCTATTTGTGTTTGCTTTGTTTGCTTGTTTTCTGACGAGCTTGCCTCCTGCCTCAGCCAAGGCCGTTATGTACAAGAACCTCTGCTGCCTGGTTTGTTGGTTTTTTTTTTTTCTTTTTTCGTATTTTGTTTTCGCGTGTCCTCCTTGAGGCACGACTCTGCGCGTTTCCTATCCGTTCTGCTTTGTATCTGCCCCTTATGCCTCGCCGAGACTAGTGGAATGTTGCTTTTGATCGGCCTTTGTGGCACCGAGTTTGCTGCTCTATAGTACCGCTGCCAATTGCCGTGTGCTGTGCTCTGTGTACCCCCCTCTTAATCGACTGATCGTCCCTACTACTTGTGACAAGACGTCCATAAATGACTGCAATTCATAAAAGCAAGCCGCATGTCAGGGATGCAGCTGCAAGGTCGTCAGATCGTCTCCGACAGGGGCTCGTACAAGCGCACGCTGTCCAAGGATAGGGGCAGCTGAAACTGGCGAGCAGCCAAAAGGGCCGCACCGTAGCCCGCAGTGACACAAAGACGAACGAGCTTAAGCTTGGGCAGGTCCAAAGGAGCCACAACCTCCTCGAAGCCGGCCTTGAGTAGCGGCCATGATTTGAATACAGACCCCTGGCACACAACCATCACTACACCACCAAACTGCGGCGAGATCTGGGGCCCGACTGCGCGAAGGTGGTAGCCTGTGATGGTGGCATCGTGAGCAACATGCGCCCTGTGGCCACTGGGCAGTCTCATGACAAGAACCACTCACCCATTTTACGGCCAGCCTCCTTGAAAACATGTTGTGCCAGGGCGTCCCCAGAGGCAGCCGCTAACATGACACGTTTGCAAACGGGTGATGCACCCCACGTGAGATGGCGTGTGGTCAGCATCTGCGTGCACAATGGTGCACAACACACACACACACACACACACACACACAGTCGTGCCACGCAGCGGGGAGCCAACCCCGGTATTGAATTCCGAGCAAAAGACCAACCTTGGCTCACGGTCACGGCAAACCGAGCAAAGTCGCTCTTGACAAACTTTGAATAAAAGTGGGGTAGCATGTCTTTCAGTGTATCCACCTAAACCAAACCAAAAATGGACAGCTGAGCGCCGGCATGCAGTCGCTTGCGGGTCACAAGAGTACAAACCTTGAAATAATCAAACATGGCTTGCTTTAGCGTTTCGTGCGATGCCGGTGGCTCATGCAGCTATGCGAGCACATATTTTGCCACAAGAAATAAGTTGTGCTCGACGAGACGATGGACGTCTTGATGAGGAAAGCGCCCAACCTTGTCTTCGGCGTCAAAGATGATTTTGACAGTGTCGTGGGCAATGTCAAAAGCTACGCCACGCCGATGAAAGGGTTTGGGTCAGCCACGCGCGATCACAGGCCAGTCATCAAGCAAGAATAAGCGCAAGATGGGCAGTTGTTCTGTGCCAACACGCACCCGAGGCTTCGTCGCCCATAAAGTGGCCCCAGCCACCACAGTTGGCAGAGGAGCCATCTGGGTTTATGAGGGTGCAGTTGCTACCCGTGCCCATAATCATGACGATGCCGCCATCGATGCATCCCGTGGCCACAGCACCATAGGTGTCGGTGCAGATGTGCCAATTGGAGCAGCCTTCGCTCGCATACTCGCGCTCAAAGTAGTCGCGAATGGCCTGCTGAGCTGCAGGCTGATCGGCGCCACTCATGCTGAGGCCCTGTGAGTGTCGTCGGCATCAAGAGGGAACATAATGTAAACAGCGCCAAGACAGCTGGAGAAGTAAAGCGGCGGGTGATCGTTTGAACTGCATTGACAAACCACTGAAAGGATTGGCGGGTGGCCGCATTGAGCCAGGCAGACTTGGAGCGCCTCATGAATGCGCTGACACACCACGGGTACCGTGTCCAGCTGCGAGAGTAGGTAGGCCAATGGTGAGGGTGCCCGGCATCAAAGCAACCATGTACTTCGAAGGAGAGTAAAAGGCCAGTCATCTCGCCGACAAAGAGAGGGAAAACCGGCATGCGGCACTTGCCCATTGGTTGGTGCCGGCAAATTCAATCTCGGCAAGTTTTTGTCCCTCGGCGGAAAGCAACACCATGGTCGAGTGCGTGCCTCCACTGTTGGCAAGAACGTGACACCACCATCATCACCACCACCACCACCACCAGAGGTGAGCAGAGGTCTAACAACATGGATGCTATCCTCAGAAACCCCAGCCTAAACAGTCGAAACGGACCCTTCAACGCCAACGTAAACCCCCGCCATGCTTGCACAAGCACTGGAAGGATTCAAAGCTCGCACTGTAAAAACAAATCACTCTATGGTGTCACACGACGAAGCGAGGCACAGATCAGACGGCACCTCACAAGCCACCTCACAAGCCAAGATCCAACCCAAGACATGGGAACCAACATGGCGTTCTCCTTCAGACCCATCGCGCATCAAACTTACAAGCACCGCCGCCGGTATCCGGTGTCGCCCGCTCGCCGCCAGTGCTCCCAACACCTCAAGATCGGAAATGACTGCCCCGCGCCAACCCGCCCAGATCCAACACAAACTCTATAACATCATCATTACCTACGTTACCTTCTTCATTATTATCTGCAATATCTTCCATCCCCTCTGCGTTTACTCAACGTGCACGACTTTCATCTTAGGCCAACTCGTCTGACAATCTAATTTCATCTGACATCTGGTTTGGAGTGATTTAAAAGAAGAGGGGTGTCAACCCACCACGCCATTCCCCTCCAATTTCACCACGGCGATACAAGTGGATTGCTTAAGGTGTTGTAAACTTGTCACACCCGCAGCCTCCTAAGCAAGCTGTGATACTGGAATTCTTGAATACACGCACTCGGTCCCCTACTCTCGCCTCTACCGAGCTGAGCTTCGTGAAGAGCTCGGCCCCGACGGCAGCGGCTCGCCCAGCGGCTCTTAAAAACCGGGGCCAGAGGCACGCTGCGAGCAAACGGCAGTTGCATCCATGTCTTGCGCTTCACATTGTGCCAAAAGACTCCTTCCTCCTTCTTTGGGATTGATCCTCCCCGGCAATTGAACCTCAATACCAAGCGCCTACCGTCTCTTTCGACCGTTAGAAGGGAAGCTCCCAACTCATCCGATTCGGCTACCTCTCGGGGAGGCGATGCGCCCATACGATCAATGGCAGCGGTGTTTCCCCGGCAGGACACCCCGATGGCTGGTTTCCCTTTCCCTTCTAGTTGATCGTGCACTGCCAGCCGTCCCTGCTTGCAAGTGACGGGCTTTGTCGGACCCGAGCACACCTTTTCCTTTCTTCCTCTCCAACTACCCCAACCTCCACTACACACGCCCGATCACTTTGAGAGCCAAGCCGTCAACACCCAAACTAGCCGACGAGAAGACTGTTGTGCGCCCGTATCCGTGCCCGTACCCGTGCCCGTACCCGTGGCCTCCTGCTCATCGTCCTTCTCCATCACACACACACACACGCACACACACACGCACACACACACGTGTGACTTTGCAGTGCGTAGCGTTTCCCTCAACTTCTGGCTACTTTTCTACATGTTCTCAAACCCCTAACCCTAAATAATCACACCTTTGAGTACATTTTTTCTTCATCTTCCTCTGATTTATCGTCATTTTCTCCCCTCGCTCTCATCAGAGCAAAAAACTCCTTGACATCCATCCTGATCTCACGCTCGCGGTCGTAACGGCAGCCGGCTCGCTCTTGGACCACAGTTTGCGCAGCTGGTCATCGCCTTTGACCTTGGATCACGTTGCTCTGTCCTCAGCCTGCTTTGTTTGCCGAGTTGAACCAGCCACAAATCTTGTCGATCTGAGTCAGTCACGCCACTCGAGGCCCGATAGATTTCGCCAGGTCTGCTTGCTTTCTTGTGCGACCGCTCGCTTCAACTGTGTATCGGCATTACAGGCATCACAAGATGCAGGCTCTCCTGACATCATACCAAGCCAAAGTCGACGCATACACGCGTGCGCGTCATCCAGCTGCCCTCATCGTTTGCCCTTGTACGTCTGCACTCTCAGGGCCTGCGGGCGTTTTTGCGTTTGTTGCCCCAATCGACTCTTGGGAGCTGGCGATGGCCTGGGGTCGTCTTGCAGTGCGACGCGCTGCTGCTGCCGTCAACCCATGCCTGAGGTGCTCGCGCCCCCTACCACGCGTGCAAGGCCTGCAGTCGCGCCACCTGCTCCACACTTTTCCCGCGATCGGCCATTTTACTGATGCCGCGGGCAAGCTTGAGAATCACGACCGTTTCTGCTTGGTCCACACCGAGCCGCTGACGTTTGCCGCCGTCTTTGGTGCGTGCTGGGTGCCCATCTGAATTGTGCATTCAATGCTGCGTTTGCTTGTTGTCATCCTCCCCCTTTCTCTCTCGCTCGTTTGCCTTTTCCTGATAACATTGGTCCCAGATCTCTTTGTCTCGCTCTCATGCCGCTCACCTGCCTCCTCAATGGTCCACGTTGCTTGCTCTGGTGGGCGTAGATGGACACGGGGGCGATGCTGTCGCCCAGCTCGCCGCAGACCATTTCGAGCATCAGCTTACGTCTTTGACGCCACCGTTACAGGAGACACCGCCGGCCCTGCTGCTGCGTATCCTTCAGGACATTGGTGCACAATGGGATGAACTCTACGCCCAGCACGGCTTGCGCGCCGGCACCACAGCCACGTGTGCCATAGTGCGGGACGATGCCCTTTATCTCGCTCAGGTGGGCGATAGCCAGGCCCTTCTTTATCGTGACAACGAGCTGCGACCTGTGACGCCATCCCATCGCCCCGAGGACCCGGACGAGGAAGCCCGCATCCTGGCTGCGGGAGGACGCATCACCTGGCGCGGGACGCCGCGCGTCAATGGCGACCTCAGCATGACTCGAGCGCTGGGTGCGTGCCACCTTCGAGCAGCGGGCGTCATCTCAGACCCAGCATTGGTCAGCCTGGAACTTCACCAGGACGATGCCTTCTTGTGCTTGGCCACGGACGGCGTGCTCGACGTTGTCTTGCCTCAAGAAATTGTGGCACTGTGCCAGCAAAGCGGTTCACCCGAAGCCGCCGCCAAAGCCATTGGCGAGCTGGCTCTTGCGTATGGCTCCCCGGACAATACCACCGTCCTAATTCTGCCACTTGCAGGCTGGCACGCCTTTCAAAAGCGCCCGCCCATCTCCCTGCCTGTTCGCAACCTCGCCCGCCGCACCTCGTAGTTTCAGCTAGCTTGTGCGTCTTCCACGCGCCATCTTCTCCGAAAACAGGGCCAGGCCTTGTCGCCCAACTTAGTTCAGCTCGCCAGGCTGCATGTTCGTCCCGTCTCACCCCTTGGATTTTTTTTTTTATCCTGTTGTGTTGCCGTCCCCTCCGTTTTACCTTGGTTGTGGATCCTCCCCTACCAAACCAAACGATTCGAACGCCAATTCTCCCTTTCTTCTTTTTCAGAAAACAACAACGCAAGTTGCTCACAAAGGCGAGAGGAAAAGGGGGAGCAGGAAAGGTCGAGAGGGAAAGGCAAGCGACTAGGATGGGGTGGTGCGAGCGTCTCTCTTCTCTTCTCTCTTCTATTCTCTCTTCTCTCTTGAACTCTCTCTCTCTCTCTCTCTCTCTCTCTCTCTCTTCTCTCTTGAACTCTCTCTCTCTCTCTCTCTTGAACTCTCTCTTCTCTCTTTCTCATTTTTTTTTTTTTTTGAAAAGGAAACCTTTGATGATGATGTTACGCTGGGCCAAGGGGGTGGCGCGATTGCCGCGCGCTCGGGCGGTGGCGGTCTCCTTGCGGGGTGTTTCTCGATACCAGAGTACGGCAGTGGCTGCCGCGGTGGCAGGAAGTCAAAATCAAAGCGGCCGACGTGTCGATGGGCGCTGGATCGGTGCCGCGCTGGCCGCCCTTGTACGTTGATGTCATCAGGCACCCCTGAGCCTGCCAAGCTCGGTTGGGTCCCAGTGGTGCTGAGCGATCGTTCCTCTGATGCAGCCAGCCTTGGCGTGCATGTGTGTGCTGACATGGTTTTTTTTCCATGCAAATGAAAACGGCAATCACAGGTCACAGGTGCCCTTGCGCCCCAAGCCTTGCTGGAAGAGGCCTCGGCAAAGAGCGAAGGCGATAAAGACAGTGGCAGCAATGGGTACGCATGCCGTCTGACTCCATGAGATATGAACATCCCTTGGCCCCGGTGTTGGGCGGCTCCTGTGACAATGATAACTCTGTACTTGGAGCTAGCTCTCGAGTGCCCACAACCACTGACCCGACATCTTGGTTTTTTTCTTGTGTATATGTGTGTGTTGGGTTGCTTTCGCAGCTTCCGTGACCGAACCATCTCCGAGTACGAAGATCGCATCCGCTACTACAGTGAACCCAACAAGGTCTTTCGCTACTTTGCCACCGTCGAAATTGATGGGGTCGTCTACATGCGTCCCGAAGACTTTGTGCGCGCCGTAACCCCCGGCCAACGGCAACCCACTGGTCTGTCCAAACGTAGTTCCTGGCTGTGTGGTGCTGTTCATCTCGTCCGACACAATGCCAACCTCACTCCAAAGCGCATATGCACATTCACCCAAGAGTCTCACTGGGCTTTGACCCTTAATCCGCATCCCAACCGACAGAACTGGGCCTGGACATCTTCGAGAAAAAGGGCTCTCACTTTGGCTCTGTCACCTCCTCGAGCGTCAAACGCCCGCTCTTTGCGCACAACGATCAGGGTGAGCGAAACATGTCCCACAGCATAACGCCCATCATTTCACATTTGATCTCGTCACCAAGCCCCCTCACTCGATCCTACCGAGCAGGAGAGCTGAACCGAGACAAGGATGCTGGCTTGATCTCCTATGAAGAATTTTTATTCCTGTTGACCGCGCTGTCGTCACCGCCGCGCCAGTTTGAGCTGGCCTTTAAGATGTTTGATCTTGACGGCAATGGCGTTGTGGACCTGGTGGAATTTGCGCAGGTGCAACAGGCTGTCCAGGCCAAGCATCCTGTCGGCAAGCGCCTTCCCATGACCGACTGCGGTCTGGTCAACGCGGACGTGCTCCAACGCAGCCCCATGCTACAGCGGGTACGTTTGAGGTGCAAACCACACCTTGCGACAGTCACTGTTCAGCACTTGACTCACAAGACGTGGATGGGCGGCTCTGTGCTTGCAGTTTTTTGGCTCCCGTGGCAACAAGAAGCTCACCTTTGAGGCCTTTCGCCAATTCATGGATGAGTCAGTGCCTTGGCCGCCAGCAAACCATGGTCGCTCCCTGCCCCATGTTCATGTTGAAACTGTGTGCAAAGAGATGGGTACAGAGCTCACCGCCATGTGGTTGGATGCAACCGTGCGCTTTCTCATATCTCAGGGTCCAAGAGGACATTTTGCGCCTTGACTTTATCCGCTCAAACGCGGGTGCCACGGACGCCCTGGTCATGTCCCAGGTTCGTCTGAGCATACGCTGGTTTGTTGGGCCCACCTGCGCCTGGCCCGCGGCTCACACGCAAACCCCCGCCATTTGGTTTCTTCGTGACAGGCACGCTTTGCAAGGTTACTTTTGCGATACACGCGCATGCGCAACAACGAGGTGGCAGCGCACGTCAGCCGCCTGGACCCCGAAGACAAGGTACCGTCAGACCGCCCGACTCCTGCCCCAGTTTTGGTTCCAAACTCGTTGCTTTGCACTCATCCCAAGCAACAAAATTCTCCTGGTTTGACGCATGTCGTGCTGATGTTTGCTTTTGGTTGCTTCCCTTTCCTCTTGTTGTTTTGAAAGACGCCCATCAAGTATGAGCAGGCCCACAAATTTTTCAAGTGCATGCGCCGAGTGGACGACTTGGAGTTGGCTTTGGCGCTGTATCACGCCTCTGGCTCGGGTGTGGGTCCCGAAGAGTTGACAAAGGCCATTCGCGTGGCCACGGAGATTGAGCTTGATGCCTCGTTTGTCAAATTTCTCTTTGATCTTTTTGACCAAGATGGTACGTTGATCGAACGATTGGCTTTGATTTCGAGCCGGAGTGTGCAAAGCGAGGTGATGCACTTGTGGGTTTGGCGCCCGGTGGCTATCGAGGAGGGGCTTGTTCCTGGTGCCTCTTCATCGGCTTTTGAATGGTACTGGGGTCGTGTGGATACATGGCTTACACAGGCGATGGGCAGCTCTCCGAGGTGGAGTTTATCAAGGTGATGAAGGATGCTCGCTCGCGCGGGCTCAACAAGGTACGAGCGCATGAATGTTACTTTGAGGAGGGATGCGCTGTGGTCATGCGCCCGGCGTGGCCGTGCAATCGCACCTCTGCTCATCGGGCGCCTGGCATATGTGTAGACCAAGAACTTGCCCGTGGACCGGCTGTCCGTGGGCTTTAGCGCGCTGCTCACCTGCTTGAAGCAGCAGGTCGCAGCGGGCATGTCTGAGCTGCGCCAAGCTTCCTCTTAGAGTGCTAAAGGCCAGCTATAGCGAGCACGTCTAACCGCATCAATCTTGGCAAGAGCCTTTCACAGCAAGACGCACAGCAGCGTTTGAAACCGCTCAGACTCGGTTGTCGGTCCATCCAGGCGCATGTTCAGTATAAATTGGCTGTGTCTTCGTGTGCTCGCTGTCTGCCTCGGCTTCTGTTTTGTTTTATTTTTTGTGATTGTTATGTTATATTCTCACATTTTTTTTTTCTTTTGAAAGGATCAGGCAAGGGCGCTCACTCTGGCGCATGCTTTGCCTTGCTTGTACACACACCACTTGCACACGCGATGGCACTTGGCAAATTTATCGGTGCTGACTGAATGTTCTCTCCCCCTCTCACCCTTTCTTCACGTCTCTTCCACTCTACGTCCCTTGATCTCATAACTTGAAGTTTTGCTTTCAAGAGACATGGACCAAGCATATGTGGGGCCTGGCGAGCGAAACCCGACCCACGGGTGCATTTTCAAGGGCAGGAGCAGCTGGCGATGATTGCCCAGGGGATCATGTGCAAGACCAGATCTGGCCAGCCCTGAATCTGATTGTATTTTTGCATCCACCATCGGCGCAAAGCGGCAGGCTGATCTGACGAAAATCAGCACCAATCGCATGCGCGTGTACAAGTGGAAGCCGCCGGTGCGCGGCCACATTATGCGGAATCGGATCGCCCAGAAAGGGTCATCGGCACCATCACCATCACATCATCTTGTCCACCCTGACATGGCCTCCAACCCATCGGCGCGATTTTCAAATAAATTTACAAATTGAGCAGGACACTCCGACACCACCTCCTGTGATGGCCCGTTGCATTGTTTCAACTCGTTTACTCACTGTTCCCAGAGCCTCGGGCGCTGCCGCTTCCGACCCAGGAGCTCAAAGCAGGGGGGTGATCCCTCGCCGCTCCCTTCCCTAAGGCGGCGGTCGCCGAGTTGGTTGGAGCTGAATTGTCAGACATTGTGATTGTGTCACTTGGTAGCAAAGTGGAAGAAAGGGGGCGGTCGAAGGGTCGATCCCAAATGGCAGTGGCAGTGAGCGAGGTCAAGTGGCCATGGGCAGGAGCCAGTGACAGTGGGCGGTGGCGGTCGCATCTGGCCAAGTGGTGGCAGGAGATGCCGAGATGCCTGGTCGAGGAGATTCAGAAGCACCTCTCTCAACCTTTGGCATCAACGACTTCAACGCCCCCTCATAGGAGATGATCCTTGTTTGACGTGTTGTTACGACTTGCAAACACCTCATAAACATTCCTTTTTTTTTTGCTCTCTCTCTAAATCTCTCTCTCTAAATCTCTCTCTCTAAATCTCTCCAAATCTCTCTAAATCTCTCTAAATCTCTCTCTCTCTCTCTCTCTCTCTCTCTCTCTCTCTCTCTCTCTCTCTCTCTCTAAATCTCTCTCTCTCTAAATCTCTCTCTCTCTCTCTCTCTCTCTCTCTCTCTCTCTCTCTCTCTCTCTCTCTCTCTCTCTCTCTCTCTCTCTCTCTCTCTAATTTTTTGGATGCAAAGGTCAGTGAGGACTTGTTTCATGATTTTTTGGGGTCAAAAACGGCAGCGCGCGCTGGTCGGGGTTCGCATTGATTATAGCATTAAAGGCAAGGGAGGGCCATGGACGGCACGTCTGGGACTCGGATAGCAGGGGCCACTGAGTCGGGGCGGACAACGCCGAGGAATGAAATGGGTTTCAAAGTGTGTGTGATCGTGGCGCAACAACGTCTCATCAATCACCTTTCGCGTGCCTCTGGCCGGGCTGCTGACGGGGTCTCTGGGTAAAAGGCAGATTTCAAAGACCAGCTCTGGTGTGGCTCTTTCATCCTTTTCGGACGGATATTGACGTGGGCCAAGGCTGGGCTGGAAAGTGTCGGGGCCGACACCGAGCAAGAGTGAGTTCAAGGCCATCGGGGATTGCCCCCTTGCAGTCTTGCGCCTGCAACACGGCACTTGCTCCTTGGTGCTCGTGAAAGCGTGTGGTGTGGTGTGGTTCCGTGGCGTCGACCAGACGATCGCATCGCATCGCATCGCATCGCCTTGTCTTCCCGTGGTGTATTTTGCTGATCGTTAACACAATGGTCCTTCCTGTCTGGGTCATCACACCATCCACATCCCACTCCGCCTCGGTGCGCGAGCGTTGCCCATCTCACTCTTTCCCACTCTCTCCCCTCGACAGCCCTTTGGCCCTTTGCGCATCTTGGCTATCAACCTGCCGCCACCCACCCCAATACGTTTCGCCTGCCACCACCCTTTTGTCAGTGCACCGGCGCGCGCGCTTGCATCTCGAGTTGCCAACGCCTGCCACCACTTCATCGGATCTGTATTTCTCCGTTCCCCTGCCTCACATCTCTCTTGCACGTTCAGGAGGGCTTGGCACTTCTTCCCGGGAATTCAACGAGCCTGAGCTCCAGCACTGGGCGCCACAGCGCTGCCATCATCACACTCGCCAAGCTCATCGCCGGATGCCATCAGCGCCATGAGTTTCTTCTTGTATGTACAGTAGCTCCCCACCCGCCTGCTCCAAACCCAACAGACTTGGCCTCGGGCCAGAATGACCCAGGCCCATCTCCACCCCCAATCTGTCATGGCCACCCCCACCCTTTGCTTCAATGTCATTTTTCTCTATTTATCCAATCTGCCCATGTCACCAAGTGACGGGGGGAAATTGTCACTCGCATGTCACCCCACTTTGCCGGACACTGGCGTTGCCATCCCACCTACACGCCTACACGCCTACACCCACGCGCTTGCACTTGCACACCGCCTTCTGGGGCTGCCAGCAACCCATGCCCTTCCCACGCCACCATTTCAACTCAACCCCGACAATTTGTTTCCTGCGAATCATCGCGGCCTGCCGTGGCCCTGATCTCGCTACACATCCACTCGCGCCGCGCACCCAAAGATGGGCAAACACACGTCACATTCACTCATCACGATTGGGCATCGTGTTTGGTCCTGGTGCAGCAAGGGCCAGAAAACCTTCAAGCCCAAGAAGAACATCCCCGAGGGCACCAAGCAGCATGATCTCAAGAAATACGTCGACGCCACCCTTGGCGCTGGCAACCTGCGAGCTGCTGTTCGTCTGCCCGAAGGCGAAGACCTCGATGAGTGGATTGCCGTCAACAGTGCGTACCGACCCCCCTCCCGCCAGACATGTCACGTCGCTGATCCGCTAACCTTCACCCAACCACCCCATGCTCACGTTGTTCTTGCTTCCTCAGCCGTCGATTTCTTCAATCAGATCAACATTCTTTACGGGACCATCACAGAGTTTTGCACCCGCGAAAGCTGTCCCATCATGTCTGCCGGCCCAAAGTCTGTTGATGACCCATCGCTGCAGCCTTGCCTCGCAGGCTGCCAATGCCAGATCAAAGTTCCTGCCGCCTAGCGCTCATCAAACTGATGCATCGCGTGCTTCTAGATATGAGTATCAATGGGCCGATGGTGTCAACGTGAAACGGCCCATCCGCTGCTCCGCACCAGAGTATATTGACTTTTTGATGACCTGGGTACAAGCCCAGCTCGATGACGAATCAATCTTCCCCTCCAAGGTAAGGTGCTTTTTTTTTTTTTTTTTTTTTTTTTTTTTTTTTTTTTTCCACACCAAAGACGCCATAGACACAGCGTCTTGATCTAGAGCTGGGTCGTGCTCTCTGCTCGTGCGCTCACCATCGAAATGCGCGCTATCCATGGATCACACGCTAGATTGGCGCCCCCTTTCCCAAGGACTTTTTGGTGCTAGTCAAGGCTATCCTCAAGCGCCTCTACCGTGTCTACGCTCACATGTACCATTCTCACTTTAACAAGGTGCGAGTGTCGTCGACCCACCGCCATGCCTGCCCTGACGCCCGCATGTGCTCTGTGGATTTTGAGTGAATTCACGGCGTGTTTTCCCGCATAGATTGTTGCGTTGGGTGAGGAGCCTCACCTAAACACGTCCTTCAAGCACTTTATCTACTTTGTCAAAGAGTTCAACTTGGTGGAGCCTCGGGAATTGGCGCCTATGCAGGAGCTGATTGATCGTTTGCTGGAGAAGGACAGGCTTAAGGAGGAACAGGCAGCGGCAACAGAAGAAGCCTAAGCACCCATGCGCGTGACACGGACTCTGTTTTTTATGGTGGATACAAAGGAGATGCTTCTCCCTGATTCTCGCAGAGGGATTCCGATTATGTCGGTTGCTGGACGTCATTGACACTCTCCTCTCCACATGTGCAGCCTCGCTGATCTAGTTTTCTCCTGCATTTTGCTTGGGTTTGGTTTTTTTTTTTTCCTCTTTCATCTTTTTTCTCGCCCGTCTCTGCTGCCAGTGTTGTGCCTCAGTCGTGGCCGCACACTTGCGCGATGCTGCGCCAATCTGCTCTGTACTTGGCCGCGTGATGGTTGTGTCATGTGCTTGTTCTCGTTTTATGTTTTTTTTGTTCTGTTTTGTTTTTGTCGCATAGAGATGCAAGACTCGTTTAAGCTTTTTTTTCTCATTAGCTCCTATCTTCTCTTGTCTGGTTTCGTCTATATTGCTTTTTTCCCCTGCCTGCCACTTTCAACCCTTCTGTCCTGTCCTGACATTTTCTTTCTGCTCTTAATCGAACTTTCAACAGCCATCTCTTGAGTATTTATTCAATCATCAGCATCATTAGTCTGCAATTGAGGAAGAGGCATATTAAACAAAGCACACTTGTGCCGATACGTTCGAGTGCGGCCCTGACTCACTCCCTGTCGATCCGTGTGTATTGCGCGCGCGCCCTCTCTCTCCCTCTCTCTCCCTCTCTCTCTCTCTCTCTCTCTCTCTCTCTCTCTCTCTCTCTCGTTCTCTCGATCTGGTCCACTTTTAATGTTATTACCAAAAGCATCATGGGCAAGCTAACAACGAGCGTCATGGCGACGCCGTTGGTGGACAAACAAGGGCGATGCGGTCACGTCAGCAAAGATGGCATTGCCGTGCCGTTGCCGCAGTGGTGTAGGCGAGTCAAACTGAGGGCGCAGGGGTGGCACGGGCTGAGCTGCACGGTGGGCTGCGCTCCTGCCCCCCATAAAAGAGGCACTGAGAGAGGTATTGAGCCCGCTGGGCTTGCCAGCGGGACTCTGCACCAGAGAAGAAGAAGGGGCCACGTCACCTCGACGACTCAGCTGCAGCTTTGATGGTGTGACCATTGGCTGCGGCGGCGATTCCTGGAGCATGGCACCTCGGCGGGTAGTGAACGAGGCCGGGGCACGAGCGTGGTCGCGGCGCACGGACGCAGCAATGCGCTGCCCGAGCTCAGCAGTGACCGAGGCTGAAAGGGCGTGTGTAACGCGCGCGGGCGTTGCGCGTGGGGAGCGGTCAGCCTCGTTCATGAGCACGGATGGGCGTCGTGGCCCAAGATCCGATTTCCAAAACCGGGCGTGCATTTGACCGTAGAGCCCCAGCTGAGCCACGATCAAGCCCGTGGCGGCCAAAACGAGGTGTTGAGGATACGAACGCGCGCCTTGCACGCTCTGAGACGCGACCAATGTGAGGTAGCAGGCAAGCACCAGCACGGTGGCACCGCGAGCCAGATAATACCGACGACTGAGCCAGAGTGGTTGTGTGGCCTTACTCTGAGCCATTGACTTGTGTGGGGTCAAAGCTTGCCCAAAGCCGATCCCTGACAAGCCTGTCGCCCGTTTAAGTGCGGTGCGTAAGGATCGTGACCCTCCCAATGCCAGTCGAGCCGTCTCTTTTCCAATGCTGCCCGAGTGGTGAGCGCCATACTGCCCACCGGGCAGGAGGCGCTCGTCCACGAAGATGAACAGAAGGAGGGGCCAAAGACGTGACTGGGCCAGCGTGTCGGGCCAGGCGCGAGCACCGAGAAGAGCCAGGGCACTCAAGGCGAGGTAAAGACAGGAAACGGCGAGCAGGTGGAGCCCGAGATGTTGCAGGAGGGCCAGGGTGCAGACGGCCAGGGCCAATTCGAGGGTGCGCCACAAAAGAAGAAGGAGGCGTCGTCGATCAAGAGCCGGGGCCACGGCCATGACTTGAAGGCGGGCGTCGTGTGAGGCCAAGTCCCAGGCAGTCACGGTCCACGCCAGGGGGAGGAGCGCGGCAGCGAGGCGCAGTCCGCGAAGGGTGGCGCTGGTTGCAAGATCGGCGCGGACAAGGAATGAAAGGGCGAGTTGAGGTAAGCCCTTGGAGATGGCATCCATAGCAGCAGGTGAGGACTGCAGGAAGAAGGGGTGCAGGGTCATGTAGGTTGGATGCTGGTAGGCCTGCGCTAGCTCAAAGTAGGGATGGAGGCGCAGGAGAATTAACAGGCGGTGGCACCAGCCAGCGTCGCGAAGCTGTGTGCGAAAGGTGGTGAGCTGCAGCAAGCCTGGCAGGAACATGAGCGCCAGCTGTAGGGGCAGCCACCAGGCAACCGGCGGGACGTGTGCAGGCGCTTCAAAGGTCGAGACGTGGAACAGTGGGCCACAAGAGCTGAGAAGCAGGCCATAGTCAGCCAGAGTTTCGGGTAGATAAATGGCCGTTGACAGTGCCAGTTTGTAGAGAGCGCGCTGCGTGCGCTGACCAGCCGCCGAGCCTTCGGTGCGCGTCGAATGCGACTCGCGGTCATGCAGAGCTGGCGAGGTCTTTGAGGGTAAAGCCGCCGTGTTGGGCGTGTTCTCTGTGACATTTGCGTGATGCGCAGCCTCGGTTGCCGATGCTGGCAGCGCAGCTGAAGCAGATGCCACCATGGTCGAGGACGTCGGCTCGTCGGGCTTGGCATGCTTTTGGGGAGAGGCGCGCTTGGGCGAGGTCCGCTGCTTGGGCGAGCCCTTGCCTCGATTCTTGCCCATGACGTCGGCTTTGCTGCTGCGTCGCCGACGAACCAGCCGAGTGGCCAAGCTGCGCAAGCCGATTTAATCCGCCGAAGGCACGGGGCTGTCAATTCAACGCCCTGGCCTCTCGTCCAAGCAATGGGACCCGCAGGCACCTCCCACTGCGTACGACAAGAGCTCCAAATCCTTTGAGCCACCACTGCGCAACTGTACGCTTACCCTATTGTTCACGCCACTGCGCCCCCGTCCAAGTTCCTCACGAGCACACCAGTGGGCGCTGCCGTTTCGTAGAGCTCGCTCTCACACACTCACACTCACACGATGAATTTGAAATTTTTCGCTGTTCTCCAAAATTGAAAAAAAATTCCAGATTTTGGCTTTATCGTCACTGTGTTCGCATACCGGGTTTGAAGGGTTGTGGACTTTAAGGGCGGCGCCGGCCGCGCCGGCGAGCTAGACGACAAAGTGCCAGCACCCAGGACAAGCCGATCGCTTGGTATCACAACAATATAGGCCCTCTCGGCTCAAAACTTTGACTGAACTCTCCATCTCTTCACTCTTGCTCACGCGCAGTCTCTCTCTCCCCCTTACCTGTCAGTTTGTTTGTTTTTTCATCAAGAAGAGACATAAGAGACACAGAGAGAGTGTGTGTGTGTTTGAGAGATACACACAGACACAGACACACACACACACACAGGCACAGGCACAGGCACAGGCACAGGCACAGGCACAGGCACAGGCAGAGACACACACAGAGAGAGACAGACACACACACACACACACACACACACACACACACACACACACACACACACACACACACACACACACACACACACAAACACAATACACAGCCATTTCATTACAAGCAGGCATCAGAGTAGAGTTCAAAGAAGCAAAAAAAAAAGAGATTTTTACAGGTGGTGCTTGTGGTGTGTATGACGGGACTGCCATGGCAGCGGCTCAGCAGTCGGATCGGGCTTTTCAGCTCAAGGCACAGGCTGTGACTGCTTTGAGCAAGGATCGGTATCATGTTGCCCTTCCCCTTTTACAGGAGGCCGCAGGTCGGGTCGTGGGCTCGCCGTCGTGTGCTGACCGCGCCACGCCAAGGGCATCAGCTCTCATGGCTCGGATGTGCCCGCCCGCCCAGCGTAGAATTGTACGAGCTGCTGGCGGCGAAGCAAACCATAGAGGTTGGCAGGATCCGTCCCGACAGGCGCTGCCTGGCATGCTTTTGCTCGCCAAAGGGGCTCCGTGCGGGTTGGAAACACTGGCTCACCAAGTCGTACGTTTTGGCTCTTAGCTCAAAACGCGTTTCTACACGGACAAGGCAACACATTGCCTCACCCTCATTGCCCTGGCCCGTGCTGCCGTCGAAGCACTACAGCCACGACCGGCGAGCCAGGCCACCGACAAGAATCCAGGTCAAGGCAGCTCCAGCAACAAGGATGCGGTGCCCAATGACCAGGATTCTGGCGGCCAAGCCCTCGCCCCGGCTTCCGCGCCCACCGAAGCCCTCCAAAGGTACAGTGAGCTCATCAAGCCTCGGGCATGTACATAATCTCTTTGCAGTTGCATCCTCATCCTCATGTACGCGTCGTTGCGCAAATAGCTTGCGTGAAATGATGAGCGTTGACGTTGAAGAACTGGCCACCACCAATACGCGGTTTGTGACTTTTTCTGTGCCTTGGCTCCGCGGCGATGGCTGCCCTGGATGCCGACGCGTACCCAAACAGCAACTCTCACCCCGTCTGTGGGTGGCTGTGCAGACTGCGCGAGCGCGTCGAAGACCTGGAAGCCCGCTTGGACGCTCTGCAACAAGCCCTCTATCAACAGGTGGGTACATCCCGGTTGACCGAGTTCAAGCCCTAGAGGCAGTGGGACGCCGCCTTGCTTACCCCACGTCATCTGTCTTCAGCTCCAGAACTCCGCAGCAGATGAAGCATCCCACGAGGCCAAGACCAGCAACCTTGCTGTATGTGATCAGACCCTTCTGGCTCCTCAGGCCTGCCACAAAAAAAAAATCGTTGTGACTCTCTCTCGCTCTCCCCCACCCCTCTCTTGACTTTTGCCTTGGCCTGTCTTGTGGCGTCTGCTTTGCTTGTTCACCCTTTGTGTTGTCGGCGGTTCTTAGACGACCAGACTTCAACTCGTCGAACGATGCCTGGCGGCTCAGGTCTGCCTTGCCCGTCTTCATTCACCCGTTGGGACCATCAATCCAGACTCATGGCCGCCCTTTCCCTGTCACCAGGACATGGACCAGATGCGGACGCGTTTGCTTGCCATTGTTCAGCGCCACGAGCAAGCCGAGATTGAATAGCCACGACGGTCCCCCACTACCCCTGCTTTCTTGACGCGCGCTTGGCCTGCTGAGCAGGCCTAAAGCATGCAGGTTTGTGTCCATTGAGAAATGCGCAGCTTGAGAAATGCGCACAGAGTACTTGCGCGCAAGTTTAGCCCACAACACTGGTTGTGATTGACAATCGAGACTTTGTGAGCAGCAAATAAAGAAAATGAAATTCCTTTCCAGAAAAAAAAGGACAAGGGCAAAACGAAAACTTGATCCATACAACACCCCATGACCAGTGTGCAACGCTGATGTCGGGTGAGGTGGAGAACACAGCATGGAGAACAGAAACGGCGATAACAAGACACAAGGCGCCGCACCATCAAAGAGGGCTAAGGATAACCAAAACAAAGAGAACAGGATGGCGCTCTCTCACCAACGCCCCCACCTCAACTTCAAATCAAACGTTCATCATCAAATGCAGCCACAAGAAAGGGAAACCAGACAAAAAAGGAAATAAAGGCGGGAGCAATGAGCCGAGAGACGAGCACATTGTTGCAAGAAAGCAAGATCACGACAAAACTGGTCATCAAAGCGCAGCACGATGATCACTCAGGCTAGTCATGACCGGAAGCGGGGCCGGCGCGGCACACACAGTGTTGTCCACCCAACTGATAAGTCAGATTGGCACGCAAAAGTCGGCCTAAGCCTCCTCACCCGAGCACATGCACACAGAGCACCTATACAGCGTTCATCTAAAGCAAAACGCAAGGTCCGGCCTTCTTCTTGCCGCCAGTGCGTTGCTTGGGCTGGGGCTGTAACCGGACGGCACCACCCGTGGCAAAATCCACGGGAGCCTTGGTTGGACTCTGGGGTCCGGTGGCGGGGCCACTTGCGCTGGCCGGTGCAGACGCTGTACTGAGACGCTGTACAAAAAGCTCGGACAGATACTTGAACACTTCGTCAATATTGTAGTTCTCCTGCACAGAGGTGCGATAAAATTTCAGCTTGACTTCCTTAGCGAGCTCTTCAGCCTCCTCCTTGGTCATGACAGCATCGTCGACCAGATCGATCTGTACAAGAACCAGCGTGTGTGAGCTGGGTGTGCCCACCGGCACGCGCCAGGCCGTGCATGCAGGACTGTGGACCAAGACAGCGCCGGACCTTATTCTGTATTAAAACCATGGGAATACTGCCAACCTCCGCCTCGACCTTGCCAATCCAAGACTTGACGGCTTCAAAGGATGCGCGATCAATGGTCGAGAAGGCGACAACACATGCTTCGGCATCTGGAAAAGGCGCATCACAAGTTGACAAGTTGACCCGACAAAACGATCAAGGACAGCTCAAGGGGGTGTGGGGGCACGGAGTCCGACCAAGCATGCTGGGCGCGAGCAACAAAAAAGACAACACGCTCGTACCTCGATAATAGGCCTTTGTCATGCTATCAAACTCCTCCTGGCCAGCCGTGTCCCAGATCATGAGACGCAGATCTTCACCACTGACCTGGAGCTTCTTCTCCAAAAAGTCAACACCAATAGTCTTTTTGTATTCTTGGGTGAAGACACCCTTGCAGTACCGCTGGATCATGGACGACTTGCCAACGGCACCATTGCCCACAATTAGGACCTGTCAAGCATCGAGCAACAAAGGCAATCAATCACTGCACCGCCAGGTGTACGGCAAAAGCGAGATATGTGCTCCGAATAGCAATCGACGCGACACAATATCTCGCACGGAGCTGAAGAGTACCGAAACTGCGCGTGAGCAAAGGCAGCAAGAGACGGGCTCACCTTGACGGGATGTTCGATATCCTCCTGAAGCATGTTGGTGGTTCTCCTGGCAACACCCAGAACACTCGCTTTTCAAGTGCTGGAATTGGAAGAAAAATGAGGGACAAGCCGAGCTTTGCGCACGGCGAGCAACCCGGTCGTTGAGGCACGAAGATGAACTTGACCAGCAGTGGCTCAAGGGCTTGCCCACGGTCGAGCTTTGGCAGCGTCGAAACAATTCGGTTCAGCTACACGGGTGCGTGAAGCTGCACACACGAGATGGCCCTTGGCAGCAATAAACCGAGCTTGATCGGCAACAACGCGTCGCAACACGAGGCCGAATCGAATGCCAGGCTCTGCTTCAAGCGGGACACGGCTCACGACGACAGGGCAACGAACAGACAAGGCCACCAGGATGGCAGCGCAGTGTCAATCAAGTGCACGTAGAGTAGCTGACCCTGGAAAAGATTGCGTGCGTATGATAATCGCAGGCTCAACAGCCCAAAGGCAAGGACAATCGTGCGCCCAAGTACTGCAAAGACCGTCGCTCATGTGCCGGAATGTTGGTCCGGTTTAGTGTCTGGGGGTGATGGCCAGTTGATCGTTTGACAAGGAGCGAGCGCAAGCCAGCAACAAGCAGGCAGAAGTATCGTCAGCAAGGCGCAAAATTCCTCCAGCCAACCGTGGTATTGTGTCCCGTATCAAGCGAGCAGGGGGGCAACGGGGCGGGTCCAAATACCGGCTGCCGTTTAGTTCCCGACGACACTTACAGCCAAACAAAAAAAAAAAAGAAAAACAGAGACAACAAAGCATCGACCGTGCTAGAGAGTGCGGTGCGGTGGAGATCCGGTTCAGAGAGTTGAATCTGCTGCATGTGAAACTTAAGCTTGAATTGTTGGTGTAATCAGAGAAACATCCGCAGAGCTGTGAAACTGTAGAGAATGTTTACTGTGACAAACGATTGTTTTTTCGTGGATATGTGCTTTGCCGCCCGTCTCCCGCGTCTGGCCAGCGTCCCCGAGCCCCTCTTGCGACAAAAAACAGGTCGCCGAGCATCATTTCCATGCGCCTCCGCTCCCCAGGCTCGCACGCCCTGTGCTCCAACGGGCCGCCCCATAGCGCTGCCATTTGATCATCACTGGCAACCGTGTTGAGCGTGAAAGCTCCAACAGTGGGCGGTTGGGGGTCAGGCTATACCACGCACTAGACTATTTGACCCCAGCTCTGAAACACGAATGTCATACATGTACAAAATCTTCTGCCCGTTTAGTCTGACAACTTTGTCAGACTACTGACTGACTTATTGTCAGCAAGACCGCCGCCTCCCTATGCTGTCGCTGGAACAGCATAGGGGCGCCTCATGGCGGTGGCAGGCGAATGCTCCTACCACATGCCCCAAGTACACCACCCAGGCAGAGTGAGTTCTGGTATCATGATTCCATGCCTATGAACTTGCCCGTCGGCATCGGCCAGAGCCGCTTCAAATCCATTCAAAAATAGCATAGAAGCAAAGAAGCGGCTTGCTGACCCAATGCATTTATTGAAGTGAGCGACTGTGATGGTTGTTCGTCCATGAATCTCTACCCTTGACCATTTTTATGAAGATGCGGGCTCACTTTGTGCACTAGTATCCGGAACGTCGCATCCGGGTTTGTTCGTCAACAGGATTGCGTGCATCAGCATTTGTTTCGCGTGATTAACAAGTTTGCGCATGATTATTGAACTTTGGTTTTCGGGCCAATATGGCATCCACAGTTGGTGTACAAACACCAGAGTTCTCCCAACGGCTTTGCTCAACTTAACACCTTTGCTGAGCTCGATATGACTGCCGGAACATTCGAAACACGGCTCGGCCGATAAAGGTCTTAATATCTAGACTTAAATAAAAAAAAAAAAAAAAAAAAAAAAGCGCTGCAAAAAACCCGTTTGAACGTTCGCGTCAAATCCGTGCTTCATGTATTTGAGCACTCACGCCCTGGAGCCTGACAGAACTTCAAAAGGATGTTTGAACGAAGCCATTTCTTTGTCTGAAGAATCAAAGGTGATACGAATGGATTGGGTAGCAGGCGCCGTGGGTAGCTGGGAGGGATCTAGAGCGGACGCAGCTCAGCTAGAGCGTGTCCATGTCGTCCGAGCCTGCTCCTGGTTGTTGTTGGTTGTATGTCTGCTCAAAGGCACGTGCTGAACTGCCAAAGACATGTTGTGACAGATTCCAGTTTTGTGGGCTGGCCATCTGAAAGGTGGGCGCGTGCATGTTCGCTCCGATCCCCGCGGCCGCGGAGCCACTCGAGCCGCTTTGCGAAGGGTAGGTAAAGACGGGTGCCATGGATCCACTCTCGCTTTGAGCAGAGGACTCGGCCCCAAAGTGGGTGGCATTCATTTTTTGCAACAGTGGAAGCGTGCCACCCTCGGCGACCGTGATGACCACCCAGATTTGATCTCCAAAATACTGCCGAGACGATATGCCAAAGGTGAGACGGGAATTGAGCTTGTCCTAAAAAGCCGGTTTGCGTAGGCAGCAACAATGACCCGCGCATTCATAGGGGCAGATCACGACCCACACGCCATACCTGTACGCCGCCATTAATGTAGCACAGCCGATAGGCCACAGCGTACTCGCCTGCCTCTACACTCACACATCCGAGATTGCGGACACCGGATGAGTTGCCGGCAGCATGGCCGTGACTACACCGGGCTGTTTCACGCGAGGGTTTCACGCGAGAGCAAGACTCGAAGTGGTCAAGGGCAACAAAAGGGTGGGCCAGTGTACCTTGTGGTGATTTCATGGGCACGGTCAAGTCACAAGTCTACATTCATACATCATCAGGCACAAGGCTGGGCGTGAGCCACGAAAAAGGAAAAAAAAAAGTATGCAAACCCACGGGTCATGTGTTGTCAATGCGTGGGCTCGTACCGCGCCAGGATCAAGGGCCGGGACGTGAATCACAGGCGCTTGATGCATGCGTGGCCCTTGCACCAGCTCGAGCTGTGTTGACCTGTGGCGTAGCGCCAGAGCACGGTCAATGCGTGAGTTTCTCCATCAGCCACATCCATCTGGCTCAGGTGCGCGGTGCTCAACTCCCACAAACGGTGCTTTCGACTCCAAAAGACACCACACGTACGGGGGCCAAGCGATGGGGCCGTTGTTGACCAGGCGCCACGTCTTCTCAAATACAAAGCCCGGAGGCACAGCCTCGCCATCACCAAAAGTTACGTCACACACAAGCTCCGCTGAGGGCTGTGGACCCATAGCAGCATTGACTGCATTTGCGCCACCCTGATCAAAGAAAGACACCACTGCCGCCTCCAGGTTCCTGCGATTACACGAACACAGGGCCAGAAGTGAGGCTCCGACGGCCTTCCGGTGGCGCAACATGTGTAAGTGTGCATAGAGCACAAGGGGAAGCGCCACACTCGGCGCAAACGCACCAGCTGTTGGCTTCCAGAAAGAAGGTAGCCGCCTCTTGGCTCATGCCAGGCACAAGTTGACAAAAGCGTTGCACCAGGGCGGACGGGTCGTCAGTGCCCATGGACTATCAGGCGCATTGAATAGACGCGTGAGGGTATCCGGCGATGAGGTGTCATTTCATCAATACCAGCCTGCTACACGCCTCCAAATACACCAACACGAGTTCCTTTGCCAACGCCAGAGCCCGAACGATGCGTTGTTGCACACCTGCATCATGTTGACAAGATCGTCGGCCGACATGGTGCCGCGTGGAGGCAACTGTGTCGTGGCGGGGCCGAAAGGGGCAGGGCAGCCGGTGGGCCAAGAGGCCTGGTCCCGGTTCGGCTCGCTGGTCACCCACGCACAGCCCCAAACCTATTAGGACTGACAGCACACCACAGTTATGCATTCCCACCGCAGCTCGTTTATCAACGCGTGCTTGCAAGTACGCCGGCGAGAGACACCACGCACGTTGGCGCTTGTCGGCATCGGCAAGGGATTGGCCATGCACTCCAACATACCCGCAAAAAAACGGCACGACCGTCAATCCGATTATCGCACGCGACTTCTCAAAGGTTATTCCTGCTGCCCCTTGCTTACAACCGTCCTAGCTTCCACCAACGTCGTCGTCGTCGTCGTCGTCGTCGTCGTCGTCGTCGTCGTCGTCGTCGTCGTCGTCGTGTTCTGTCGTCGCGTGTCGTGTAGAAACCTGTCACGCTCTGCTCTTTGTGTGTGTGTTGTCGCAACCATCAAAATTTTGGCGCCCAATTCGGTTATCTTCACTAGTTTCGTCTCCTCGTCTTTCAGTTGTCTGACATTTGCTGTCTCTCAATCGGATTCGCGCCAGGAGGAGTTCGCTTGCATAATAATTTTGTGCTTTGAAAACATGTGTTGATCCGCTCTGCCAGTACTCACACCACACGCCCACCTATGATTATATTGCTACATGCGTGAGTGTGTAGTGCTCTTTCAAAACGCGGGTGAAGTGGGCTGGGTATACTTGTTTTGTCTGAGGCTCCTTGGTGACTTTGCAGCCCAGCGACAACCGATCGATGTTGAGCAAGTGGAAGTCTTGCAATCTGGCTTTCAATTTTTAGGAATGAATAAACTAGCCTGGCCGTCTTGCTTGAAAATATCGTTCTGCTCCTGTTGAGACAATGCAGTCCAATCGCGGATGTTTCCTAGGCAGTCGAGTACACGAAGACACGGTCCGAATTCCTCGATAGTTTGTTCTGACAAGCGAAACCCTGAGACACGGTCTTCCAGGTCTTCTCCCAGAAACACAATGAATTTCCCAGCATTCCGTGAAGTTAGGTTTTTGAGCTCGCCTGGCCAGTCGAGGAATGAGCGGTGGCTAAACGAGCAGTTTGGGAGCAACTCATCCTCCAGATGTTTACGCAAGTCTGATACAAGCAGCCGCAAAAGAGTCAATCGCCGATTTCCATCCATTATAACTCGGCATGTCCAGTCTTCACCAAAGGTGCCAAGCCGTCCTGCAGGAACAGTGAGGGGGGGTCTGATGTCAAAAATTACTTTTGACACCTGTCTCACGGCTTGAACTTCATCGGCCTGGACGGCTGACTCCAACGAATTGGCGAGCTCAAACAGGGAAAGGTTCTTGAGCCCCAAGATCTCTACTCTCAGGGTATTTTGCTCTTTAACCGGGTACACTGTCATTGGGGGGAATGCGCCCGGCGCTTCTTTATTGAAAACATTGCTGACGCTGCTCTGGGACCAGCGAAGGTATGAGCCTGTCAGCTCCTCTTCACCTGGGGGAGGAGAGTACTTCTCACTCTTGTTTCTCTGTTCTTGTCTTTTTCGACCGCGCCGTGCATTTTTTTTCTGTGCCTATTGCAAGCATGGTCTTGAACGAGTCCAGCCGAGCTCAACCATGGTGTGATCAGAATCGGTCGTGCGCCGCATCAACTCACCTTGGTTAATAATTTGCTGTCCATGACGGCAACGTAAATGGAGTTATGATGTCAAAGTGTATCATTCATCACACTGTAATCAGACTGTTTTTTTTAGTAAAAGAAATTGAACGTAAAAATTCACCTTAATGTTATTCAAAAAAAACGGAGTGCTTGTGAACGGCTTGAATCGATCATGTTGCGCACCGCCTCCAAACATCCACCGGGGTTACGGATATTTTTTTCTTGTTTGTGTGTCGTGTCTTATTGACCGCGTTGCCGAAATGGCATCGACGGCTTCCCGCGCGCTGGTCATTATCAGCAGCACGATATGTCGTTCAGAAAGCGAAGATCAAGATTGGATTACTGTCGAACGTCATTCGGCTAGACCGAAGCAAAAAAAAAAGACCGCGCAACAGCCACCAAAGCCAAAAAAGGGCAGCGACAAGCCAACCCGCCGACCAGTCGTGGCCGTCGATACCTCCAAGCTGCAACTCCTCCTGCGTTCTCCTATTTCGCTTGCTCAAGACTTCATTGAGATGCTGCGCATCCATGGGCCCGATCATGGCCGCACGCACGCCGCTTTCGAAAAAGCTATCAACGCAGGACAGAAACGCCAGAGTATGTGCCCGGTCATCGACTCTTTGCTGAAAGGACAAGAAGCTCAGGCTGCACCAGGCTCAGCGCAGTTTTTACTTCACATTGACAAGGACAACAATCCATTTGACGTTTTGGATCAAGTCCTCAAGAACAAAATGATTGCTGAGAGTCTCATCTGTGGAAGCTTTTATCTGGCGAGCAAAAAGTCGCCAGCTTTCCTTGAGGCCGGTTTGCCGCAAACACCGCTGTATGTGCAAGTGCCAAAAATCAAGGAGCTTCAATGCACACTGCCGACTCGCCATTTGGCGACATTAAGTACGCCCGTGTTTTTCAACTTTTTCCCTGCATGCCTGGCAACGACCGCCGACCACGCGCTTTTGGCGCAACAGCTGGAGGAGACATTGCGAAGCGTCAGTTCAAGCATTTGGCAGAAGCCGTTTGCATGCTCGCTGGTGTACACCGCATGGGATAGCGACAGCCAGCTCGATCTGGTCCGTGTTTTGAGAAACGCCTGTGCAGGTCAAATTTTGATGAAAGACGCTAGGCGCTGGGTGCAAGGCACGAAGGCAGCACTCAAAGCCGCTGGCCTGCAATACCGAGATACAGACAATGGTCTGTTCCTTTCCAAAGATGCTGCGCTATCAAGAGCGTTTGTGCTTATTAGCTGGAATGCGCAGCTATTTCAACACGCTTCCTCTTTTGTGTACAGCGTCCTGCTTGATAAGCGTGTGGTGACGGCTGACAGGTCAGAATCTATTGTGGCCACCTATACACCTCAAGAGTTGGCATCCAATACGCCAAAGCCTGCTCGGCAAGAGCTCGTTCCAGCCCAGCAACCCCCCAAATTTAATCTTGTTGATGAGCTCTGTAAGGGCCGGTAGGTTCCTGTCTCATTCATGTTTTTTATGGTTTCTCTGTTTACAAAGAGCACATGTCGGTAAGTTTCTCTCACCTCCAGATACTCGACTGCCGGCAGGACTTGGATGGAAGTCGGAAGAAAGTTGTACAAACAGTCGCCCTCGGCATTTGCACAGCGCTTTGGCGAACACAGTGCGGAGGCGGTGAAATCCTCCATCGCCAAGATGAATGTCAATCACTCAAGTGAAAGTCAGTGGTGCTACCTTTGACAGTTCCTTCCACTGATTTCAACTTGGGTGGTTGACATGGAACAATTCGATTTATTGTAGTCTTGTGATTGGGCGATCAAGCTCGCCGTTCAGTCCACTCTTTGACTTTTCTGGTTATGAAAATCGAGACATCATATCAAGGGGGTGTTGTCGAAATGGCTCGTTTCGCGATGTTGTAACAGAATACACTTAAAGTTGGATCCCGTGTCATTACACCGAGCGTTTGTTCCGCATTCGGATAATGATTATGAATGTCAATTTGCAAGAAGGGAGAATCAGAACCCCATCGGCGTGATGGCACCAACTTTCTAACCGTCTGCGGGAAAATAAACACAATTTCATCGTGCCTCCGCTCTATTGCTCATTTTTCATTTTAAAACCTAGTCGTGTTCGTCACATTTATATATATACACACCACGCTGGCAGAAAGACGGGCATGCGGGCGGGTGGGGCACCACTGGGTTTGCACCCCGAAGAAATTAACAACAAACATCAGCAACAACAAAGAACATAATAATAATATAAAATGGTGGGCGAGTTCACGAGCTGCAAACAGGGGACAGCCCAGCGCCAGTGCAGCATCACGCTCTAGAGTCAGAGCTCAAACCAATGTGGCTTTGCGCCCATTTTGACTCAACGGCACCACACGGGCCGAGCCCTTGCTGGAGACTGACTTGACGCTTTGATGCGAGCTGGCACTAAGACTGCTCTCAGTTGAGCGCTCAACAGCGGTCGTATAGGTTGGGGGTGGTCGCGCGTGGGCCAAGACTGGGTCGCTCGATCGTTTCTCAAGTTTGGTCGGTGGGGCCACGTTTGAGGCGTCCGGCCGTGTGGCCAGTTGTCGTGCCGAACGCCGGCCACGCGATTGGCGATTCAAGCCCGACTGGCGACGCAAGGGCCGGGGGTGAGTTCCATTCACACAGCTTGGCGAGTCCAGGACGGACGATGGCACATCAAGACCAGGGCCGACCATGCTCATGTCTCCATCTTCGATGGAGAGGTTGAGAACCGGTGGTGCAGCCCGGGTGTGACGAGGGTGTTGCAAAGGCCGCCGTCCACTGCTCAGCATCAACGCGGGTTCCGTGCTACGGCGTGGACGTTGACGGTAGAGTGCTGGTGTTCGTGCAGTCAGCCGTTCAACCAAATCGGCATGGGGCCCAACGGAGGCTCCGGATGCAACCGGTAAACCTGGTGTTGCTGTCGCAGACTGCACGGCCGAGTGGGTGTGGCGGCGACGTGGCGTCATGATGCGAGCCATAAAGCCGCGGCGATTGCCACCAGGATCTGCGTCTCGCATGACGTCCAAGAGCTCATACATTCGTTGCTTGTACTCGGCAAACTCGCCATCCACATACTCGAGCATCTGCAAGAAGCGGGTAGCCATGGTGCGAGCATTCTGCAACTTGGCGCGTGCCGCCTGCGTGTCTTCGCTGTTGCTCAAAGCATCGAGATACTCGCGCCAGAGCTCTGTCACGGATTGCTCCTCTCGACTCAGCTTGGCACACGTCTCACGATAGTGCGCTCCTCGATACGGAGCAGGTGTAAACTCGAGGCTGTCCTCGCTGGGCGTTTCCTCACAGGCCACCAAGGACTCGATACGCCTTTGAATTTGAGCATGCAGCGTGCTGTCTGGTACCTGGAGGAGCGCAATGGTGGCATCCAAGGCAAAATGGCCATTCAGGGGAGAATGAGTCGACATGTCCCAAATTGCAATCGTCGTGAGAGCTCAATAATGGATATCAGACAAAAACGTACCAGACCGCTGGGACCCTCATGTAAGCACCACACAAAGGCATCTGTCATGGCCTGAGTGGCTTCAACGGAAGCCATATCCTGCGCCGGCCACAGAGAGCGTGAGGGCGAGAGGATGCAAGGCGTACGGTGCCACGTAAGCCAAAACGTGCATCCTGGTAACTGGCATACCGGAGGCAACAAGGAGGGCGCAATGCAGCGTGCTAGATTCTCGTATGTCATCTTATTGTGCTCCGCTAGGATTCCCAAATTGCAAAAGGTAAGCATACGGCCTGGAGGGAGACAGGCTGGTACGGTACAGGCCAACACGGAGACACACCGTATTGGCCAATGCGATGGCAGAGACGGACAAGGCCAGAGACAATGCAAAACCCTGCGAGCATGAGCAAGAGCAGTGTTTTTGCACATGAGCGTCGAGTCGCGCCTCGGCTCAGGGGATGAGGGGTCTCGGGTAGGCAACGAACAGGAATGTGGCATGAGGGCCAGCACAATCGGGAGAGCGCGTCGATAGCGCTCTTCACGGGAGCGAGCGGCAAGCTCCTGTAGGAGGTCGAGGGATGTGGTGTGCAAGGCATTGGCCAGATGGTCACGGAGCCGTGCTTTGAGAAGGGCAATCCAGTCGTGAATGGTAATGTCGGTTGTCTCCAGCGTAGGCGTATTGGTGGTGATGGATGACTCCTCAAGCTCAAGGCAGTGGGCTATGTCAATGCCAGCCAAGTAGAAGAGCTGGGCATCGTGAAGCTGACGAAGCGCACTGACGCGAATGGCGGATCCAGCGCGCCGAAACACGCCCTCTGTTTGAACAATGGCTGGACAAGGCGCGCGTGCATCAACAAGCAAGGCTTTGTGAGCTTGGGAAGCCACAATAAGAATATCTGTGCACGAGTGCTTGCTGGAGCTGATTGCTAGGTGTTTGGTGGAGTTTATTTTCAAAATGCAGGGCCAGGTTTGGGATCCAAGAGGGGCATGGACACGCCAGCTGTGCGGGACCAACCTCGTTTGCGGAAGAGATGACGAAGCAGGTTGGTAATGTTGAGCACTCGACGAGTGCCATTGGAAAAGAGTTTGCGAATTTCGGCGGAGCGAGAAGGCGCCGAGGCGAAATGAATGTTGGCGGCTACATCGCGACAAGGCAGTTCCTCTTCGCCCAGGCCGTCCAAGTCTTCGAGAGCTGGCAGATCCAGCTCGCTCGCCAGGGCGAGAACGGCCTGTTTGAGATGAAAAGCGTCATCCATGCTCTCTTGATGACTCGGGTTCTCAGACGCTGTTGGCGATATCAGGCAAATGGCTCGTTGGGAAGGGCTTTCACCGCATGCAACGCGCAGGGGATGTTTTGCAACGTGATTGGGCAGCTCGAGCCCGAGCTTGCAGTGTCTGCTCTGTGGATACGAAAAAAAGAAAAAGTCGGGACAGGGGACGGGAGGGTTGTCTACAACAAATGCCAACCGCCCGCAAGTGAGCGAGCGGGGGTGTGGTGATTGCTGGCGGTGATGCAAAGGGGGGCAATTCTTGTTGGATAAATCGGGGCCAGACGGGTGGTTGTGGGCAAAACAGGACGAGCCCAGCTAAAAGTTGGGGCCAGCTCGGCACATATCCACCCAACAGAGGACAAGAAGAGTCCAAGAGTTTTGCGACGGTACACGCAATGACCAACCTGCGCGAGGGCAGCCGCGGTGCAAAATTGTTACAAGGACCAGGCAGCCGGGACGATCTGGCAGGCGCAGCCCGCACCCAGCTCGAGCGGTCCGGTGTCTCACGACAGCTATAACACGAATGGGAACGACAAGTTTGCCCCCCACCACGATGCCCGGAAGTCAAGGTCGGAACTGTTCGAGCTCGCCAGCACACACACACACACACACACACACACACACACACACACACACACACACACACACGAAAACACAACAACACAACAAGAGCAAGATTTTCAAACACACCCGCCAAAAGTTTGCCTGTAAGCAGCAACCAGTTTTTTGAAAATCGATCATTTATCTGACAATTGTTCACAACCACTGATGTGTGACAATGACGGCACTTTGATTCTAAAACCTGACGAACTCCTTTTTATCTGACTTTTCTGCTGTTGTTGTGCTCTTCTGCTTGTGTGCCGTTTCCTCTTGTGTGTGTGTGTGTGTGTGTGTGTGTGTGTGTGTGTGCGTGCGCGTCGAAAGTGCTCGACCTGCGATGTGTCTGACTCGCTCAGCTCTGGCTCTCCTTGGGTCCTCAAACTCTCTGCCCCCTGACTCGTTCTGGTCCTCTGACTCTCTGTTCCGCATCATCCCTTCGTCTTCATCACACACGCACACACACTCACAGGAGGGCGCGTGCTCTTCATCTCGCTCTCGATCGCGGTGGATGTGGCGGTCCATCAGGCTCATCCCCAGCGCTGCAGAGAAGGCTCGGCGGACATTCGACCGCTCGCTCGTGCCTTGACACAATCACCCTCCCGCTCCCTCTTGCTCGATCCACACGAGCCAATGCAGGACCAGCTGGCACGATCGCACAGCGCATCCCCCCGCGAGCGAGTACGCAAGCCCCGTGCTGCACGCCGCACGTTGCAAACATCAGCGCGGACATGCCAGAGCGGACACAGATTCAAACCCCTCTGGAAACGTGCATGCAGGTGGTCCGTTTGACAACGACAGTTATGACCGCTCACCCCTGCCATCTTGCTGACCTTGTCATTCCTGTGGCGCCTATGCCTTGACTGCCCCCCTTCCCTGTGATATCGTGTAGCTGCTTGCCAATATCACCCAACCATTCTCTCTCTCTCTCTCTCTCTCTCTCTCTCTCTCTCTCCCCCCCCCCCTTCTTAATCAATGGCCAAACCGGACCAGTCCCTCGCTCAAATTGAGACCCTTGCTGCTTCCTTTCCCGTCATTCCACACACCAGCCTGCGATCTGCCGGTGACATTTGTGCCTTCCTTTCCTCAATCCTCGGGATTCATCCAACAAAAGCGGGAGAGGCCTGCCCATCTCCACTCGAGCTGGTTGTCCCCCTCCTCATCCTCTGCCCCCTTGTCTGGACGGCGGGGGCCCGCTAATTGTCGCCAAACTGAGCAGTGCCCCAGAAACACTTCTCACCGGCCTCCTCGGTCCCATCTTTGAAGGCACAGAGCAAAGGTGCGGGTCAGCGCTGCCCAGCCCCTTTTCCTGACGCCCATCCCGTGAAGTGGCATTCCTCCTCGCGAGCAACAAGTGGGCACTTTGCGAGCTACACTTTCGCCTCGTCACTTGCACTCTTGAGTCGGCGCGAAAAACGGCGTCTGCCCTTTTCTGGGCCTGCACCACGTACACACAAAACAGGCGCCTAGGTTGCCTGCTGGTCAAGCGCCCGCAGAGGTCGTCTCGGCAGCACCACCGCCACGATGAATCGCTCCATCAGTACCAAGGATCGCAACCGCACCGTACGTTGGCAGCTTACCCACCTTGCTCTCCTTGCCCGATGTCGTGCTTCGCCTCAGCAGGCACATTGCCTCGCGCAGCTTCCTCTCACCACATATCTCACGATGGATGGCGAAAACACTTGGCTGTTCGTAAATCACAGAGGAGTCAATCGACCAAGGAATCCTCTGCGCCCCGGCGTTCAACGAGTTTGAGCCATCGGCAGAGCGGCGATTGGTCTAAAAAAGCCTCCATTCGACGTCGCTTGCCCGGCTGGCGCTCGTACCAAGGCAAGCAGACACAACGCCTGCAGCAAGCCATCCAACAGGCCGACCTCTCAGCCATTGCCCGCGCCATCCGAGATGGCGCCGAAATCAACCATCGCGATCAACACCGTGATTGGAAGACCCCACTCTTGATGGCCATCAGCATCTACGACCCGAGCAATGACCGCACCCTTGAAGTGATTGAGGTACGGTTTTTTTTTTTTTTTGCTTCTCCACGAGACACAAAAACTTGTCCATAGAGTCGGCGCTGGTGCCTACGTTCGCTGGCTGCTCTTCCGTTGCACGCACTGACCATACGCTTGGGGCCCACGACACGTCAGATTCTGCTTCGGGCCAAGGCCGATGGTGATTGCCAGGACGTTATGGGCAACTCGGCTCTGCATACAGCTGCCCACTTTGGTCATGTCGACGTGGTCCACCTTCTCTTGCAGTACCAGGTCGATTGTCATCGCCTGAACAACCAAGCTGAGAATGCCCTCTTCACAGCCGTTCGCCAAAATCAAGCCGCCTGCGTGCGCCTCTTTGTCAAGCGCCTTCCGCAAATGCTGCCCGAGGTGCCACAGGAACAGCGGCTGCTTGGCCTCTGTCTGCAGTCTTGTCAATATGACACGCTCGAAGATATCTTGCGCGCTTACAAACTAGCCGCCCCAAATGACATGGATCACATTCTCAATGCGCTCCAAAGAAAGCAGCCAGACAACACCCGCCTCGCTCACCTCATTAACAGCATGCGCAATCAGCAGCCATCAGACATGGCTGCCACCAACAACAACCATCAACACCTCAATACCTCGACCGACCTAGACCAGTTGGGGCCATTGCAGCCCTCCAAGCCATCGCGGCCCCCAGCAGAAGACCGTCGCCGTCGGTCCTCCCTCCTCGCGGCACAGTGGCTCGTTCCCACTGCCCTCACCGTGCGGCGTGGAGCTGATGGTCTCTTGGGCTTTAGCGTAGTCGGGGGCATTGAGCAGGATGCCCTCCCCGCCATTGCTCTCAGCGATGCGCACAGCCCCCACTACGAAGGCCAGGGCTACCAATTGCGGGAGGGTGACGAACTGCTCGCCGTGGATGGTCATCCCGTAGCTGGCCTCTCTCACGCCGGCGTGGTTGACCTCTTTCGTCAATGCGAGTCCCGCGTTTCTCTCCTCATCCTACCGCTCGAGGCAGATGAGCAGGACTACAACACCGGCAACACGGGTGCGCAACAAGGCATGCGTGAACGATCCGGGACACAAGCCAGCCTGCGCAGTGTGACTCAGCAGCAGCCTCTGCTCTTTTACGATGCTAGCGTGCCCCTGACCACGCGCACACCAGAAGCGGGTGAGGTTCAGGGCCAAACCTATCACTTTGTTTCGCCGCAACTCTTCCACTTCTTCCTCGCCAATAAGCACCTGGCCGAGTGGGGCCAGTATTTAGATCATTACTACGGCTCGCTCAAGCGATCCATCGAGGTCCGCCCACAACACAAATCGCGTCAAGCTGCCACGTCTGCCATCAAGATTTGCCACCTCACTCGCAACGCCGAGAACGTCTTTGGCTTTGGCATCCACGGTGGGACCGATCATCGCAACCTGCCCTTCATCGCCCACATTGCCGATGTTGCCTACGCGCCGTCTTCGCCCAACCGCATTGCCCACGGCGACGCGATTCTGCGTATTAACGATGAAAGTACCCTCACGTGGTCCTCCGAGCAGTGTGTGCAAGCCATCACCAGCTCCCTCAACGTCCTCACCCTCGTGTGTATGACCCGCACCGCCAATACCGAGGCGTTTGCCCTGCCCTCGCCGCCCCCCGAGGACGTGCCCACCAATGTCCGCACCATATCGCCGTCCAAGGTGGTGAGCGCCAACAGCACCCCGCGCAACCAGTCGCCTGCCGTGCCGGTGCTCCTTGATGCCCAGGCAGATCAAGCGCGTGCCTCCCCAGGACCTCGTGCACACCGTCCCAGCGGGGGTGGCTCAAGCCGACGCCGCTCGGGTATGGCCTCGTCTGAAGCCACACCTGCTTCTGCTTCCGATGGATATGAACCGGTGCGCCTGACTCGAAAGATTCTGGAACAGCGCAATCTTTCATACCTCATTGCCGCCAATGAGGCCCTTGGTGACGGCTCGGTCCGCACGGAGAGTGATATTGCTGCATGGACGCGCCGCGTTCTGGAGAGTAATCAGCAGATGGATCAGGTCATGAACAAAACGGAAGACAAGGTCCCACATGAGACTCGGGAGCGAGCTTCAGACCAACACAGGCCAAAGCGGACTGCCAGTGGTCGTAAGCGATCCTCCGATGCGGCCGTAGCACCCGCGCAGCCTGCGAGCGCTGCTCAGCCATTGCAGGACGATGGCAACAATGATGCCGAGGCCACCGCCTCTCTCCCTCCCGCTGCAACTGTCCTTCGCATGCTTGGTGATCAGGGTGAAACCGACACCGACCAAGCGGAGAACGCTGGTTCCAACTCCGCTGCCACCCCTCGCGCTGTGGTCGAGCTCCAGCAGCATGGTGCACGCAACCCTCAGCGCAGCCAAGCCTCCTTCGATGAACAGTCGAACGACGTCTTCCGCCAGCGCTCCAGCACTGTTACCTCCACCCGCGCTCGTGTTGGTAGTGTCAACCATCACCAGCAGCACCGCTTGGCGAGTCTCGGTAGTCGTGCTGCCAGTCTTGATCCGAACGTGGACCCCTCGCCCGTGCCAGAAGACTCGCCCGAGCCCTCCGTTGTGCTGGTCCAGGACCGTCGCTCCTCGGCCAGCACCCTCTCCGAAACGCAGCGTCAGCAGCAGCAAAAACAGCTGTCAAGTGAAGAGCAGGCTCAAGAGGCGCAGTCGTGCGGTGAACAACACATCAACGTGCAGCGTGCATCCAAGTCGTCCACCGGCTCCACATCAGCAAATGCTTGTGATCCCAAACCCGAGGCTACGCAACTGCCCCAAGCGCCATACAATGAGCCGATTCCGGCGCCCGTGACCGTAGCTGTGGTGGTCGAACCCATCACCACCACCCTGTCGCTGGCTCAGGCCACGGCCCAGCCACTAAACGAGTCGCCGGCACGCCTGCTGCCTCGCCATGCAGGTGAAGACATTGCAATCAAGACCGAGGCGGTGTTTGAAAGTCCATCGCAGGTGATCAAGCCGGTTGAAGACAACTCAGCGGTGGACGAGGCAGCACTGGAGGACATGAAGATGATGCAACACATCGGCCGCGCTGGTTCTGCCGCGTCCCTGAAGCGGCAACAACATGAATTGGAGGCTGCTGCAGAGTCGGATGGCAGCCCCACAAAGTCCTCGGCTGGCGAGCCGGACGCTAGCGCGTCCGCGGCGTCCTCTGCCAGCGGCGCACTGGAATCAAGCCCGGCCGCAGCGGCCGTGGCTGGAGCTACTGGCCTCAAGCGAGGTGCAGAGTGGTTGGCCGCAACCACCGACTCGGAAGACGGCAGCGATACTGGCTCTGACGCCGATGATGGATACATGCAGATCACGCACGGCAACGAGAAGGTTGATGCAATCTTGCAGCACCTTCAGAGCAAGCTAGATGCAGAGGGCGGCCTGCAGACTGAGTTTTCGCGACTTCAGAGCGTGGGCTTGCGTCACAAGTCCTGCGCTACCCAGGCCAATCGGGACAAGAACCGCTACCGCAATATCACGGCCTATGACCATTCGCGCGTAGTTTTGCAGGTTAACCCGGAGGAGGGTGGTTGTGACTATTACAACGCCAACTACATTGCGGGTGCCCGCAGCCCCTCGGATTACATCGCCTGTCAGGGACCCACCAATTCCTCCGTGGACGACTTCTGGCGCATGGTATGGCAACAAAAGACGCAATGCATCGTCATGGTGACCAACTTGGAGGAACAGGGCCGTATGAAGTGCCTCAAATATTGGCCTGACCTGGCCCCGGGAGTCTCAGCCGACGACCTGCGCGCCGATGAGCTGCCCAAGCTGCAGCTTGGCCCGTATGTGGTGTTTTTCAAAGAACGCCACGAGCACAAGCTCTGGACACAGCGCGTCTTTGAGCTGGAGCATGAAGGCGAAGGGCGTATGACCGTGACCCAGTTTCATATGACCGCTTGGCCTGACCATGGTGTGCCATCGGAACCGTCGGATCTGCTCTACTTCCGCCAGGCCATCCGTGCAGCTTTTCCCAACCCCACCTCTCCCATGCTCGTGCATTGTTCAGCCGGCGTTGGCCGTTCGGGTACCTTTATTGCCATTGATCACATGCTTCAACTTATTTTGGTACGTGTTTCGGATCTGACCGCCTCGTATTGGTAGCCGTGCGTTGGACTCGTCAGGCGCCATTTTCTTTGCTTGCATAGTCTCGATTCTTCAGATGTTGACCTCACAAATAAATGTCCACACTCGGCTTCTCCCTTCCTTAGGACGAGGCACGGGCGGCCTCCGACGTCCCGGACGTGCGCGACGTAGTGCATGGCATGCGAGATCGCCGGAATTTCATGGTCCAAACCGAGGAGCAGTACATTTTCATTTATTTTGCCCTCGAAATGGCACTCACAGCCATGCAAGCGGTAAGAACGGATTTGCGTGGTGGCGCCTGCTCCCTTGCTGGCCGACACACTGCGTGCAGGCTCTCTAGCCCAAGATTGAGCTCAAGCGCATCATTCATGCTCACACCGTCTGCCAAATGGTCACTGCGTATAGACGGACAAGGCAGACTTGAAGATGGCGTTGGATGAGTTCCATCAGCACACAGCTGCCTAAATTGCAAGCTGCAGCAACCGAGTTGTCCCTCGCTTTGACTACTGGGCCAAGTCGTGCGTGTTGCCACGTACACGCTTTACACTCGTGGCCGGGAGGTCCAACAAGACTAATAATATGCCAACTCGATGCTTTGCTTGGTCTGGCTTTCCTTTTTTCTGCCTGTTTCCTTTTGCCATGCACATGAACGTGTGTGGTTTGCTGAATATTCTAATCCCTCAGGTTGTCTTTGCCTTGCAAATATGGATGATATATGTAGTCCATTTGTGGGCGCGGTGTCTCATGTAGTAGAATCTAATTGTCGTTGTGTTTTATCTGGTGTTCTGCCCTCGGTTCAGGTTGTTGGCTTAGTGGCCTTGGCATGCCCCGATGGGATGAGTGTAGGAAGCTTGTTCACGTGTTTGAGAAAAAGCGACATTCAATCGATTTGCTATACGCGCGAGATGAATTGGGTCGGAATGGCATGTGGTGGACATAACAGGAGGCGCATTTCTTTTCAAGAGGATCGACAGTTAAGGGCGAGGGCAATGCCAAAAGAACATTACTGACGCAGACAAGCTGAGGCGATGGCTCAACTCAACTCGCGCCCTCAACTGGACTCGAAAAAAAAAAAAAAAACAACTCAGAAACAAAGAAAGCACAAGCATTTTGCCTTCTCTGATGCGCGGCCGAAGAAGATCAAGGACAGAGAGGACGGCACAGACGGCACGGAGGCGCTGGCCCTGATGGGATCACAGGCTCACGGACTCAGGTCTTGCAGCCGAGAAGGCAACTTTACTTGCTTACCTCCGAACCGGCTTGCGCGATGACGGCATTGTGTCCCGTGGCCTGAGCCTTGCTCATGAGGAGGTCAATGGCCGCTGCAGAGAGGAGCGGTGAGTCAAAGACGTGCATGTTGGTAATGCGGTTGGTGAAGACGACACGCTCGGGCATCTCCTCGTCGGAGCGAGCCTCAATGGTTCCTGCAATGTGCAGCTGCATGTCCAGGGATTTGGCGCGGTATGACCAGATCATGTTGCGGGTGAGATAGGGGAAGAGGTGGACGTTGATGCCGGCCTCAATATAGGTGCAGTCGGCGCCCTTGGCAATGGAGCCCGTCTTGTAGATGATACAAGGCTTGCCGTTGTAGGTTTCCAGGATAGAGGGGAGGCCAATGTCTTTGAAGTTGTCGACAACGCCGATCATTTTGAAACGACCACGCATCTTCTCGTCATCAAAGGCTTCGCGACACCAGCGCGCCCAGAGATCGTGTGCAGGTTGACGCTCCACGCCCTCACCAATGGCACGAGCCGCGTCAGGACGTAGGTGGTAGTAAATGATTAGGTGTACGGTGGGACCATCGATATCACTGCTAAACATTTTGGCAGCAGCGCCCGGTAGCTGGATGTTGAGGATAAAGGTGGCGGGCACGTCCTCATGCTTCCAGTCGGCGAGGTGATCGGGCAAAGCGGGCAGGTTGATAATGGGGGCAATAGGATAGCAGCGGCGCTCGACACGAAAACAGTCCACCGCAACGGCATCATACATTTGCGGAAGAGAGAGCTCCTTTTTGCCGTTCTTCTTGTAGTCGGGGCCGCGGCGCACGCGGAAAGTGGAGCCATCCCCGACATCCCAGCCTGAGGATTCGAGGTCGTGGACGCGAAAGCCAGAGTGGCCGCCTGCGATAAACTCGGCGGCTTCAGGAAGGGAGCCACTTTCGGTAGCTTCGACCGCTGCTGCCACGGCGTCGCCGATGAGCTTGAGGCCCCCGCTTGTTGAACTTGGGGATGTTGCCGAGCCGGCCATCTGTGTGGTCACACGGTATTATTGTACGCGCGTGGCTGAGAACACCTACTGGCGTGATCGCCAGTATAGCAAGAGGGCTTGGCAACGCCGAGGTGCTTGCTCGGCAATTGGGGCGGTGCCTGCTTGACCCCCAAAGCGTAAGGTTGCAAACGCGAGGCTGGGGATGGGCACGGCTGGCGCTGTCAAGTGAGACGAGCAGCGTTGGCCCCACGTCTAAATGCGTAGACAAGAGCAAAGGCTTTTCTCATTGGACGACAGGCAGGCTACCAAAAGCACCCTGCAAGACGATAGTGCAGACCGGCGCGACGCGTGATAGGCGATGCCAATTTTGGAGGCGTCGCGAGGTGTTGGCTCATCCACTACAAGTTCAAGGCCACAGTTCAGTGAGGCACACACGGCCAGCCCAGGGGTTCATTCCAAAAGAACGACAAGACACAGCCGACCATACTCCCACAAACCCTGCTCCCCAGAGCGCAACGGAACCCAGGCCTGCATTCGCCGCACCCGGCGGCTGCCATTTCACCGCGCACACACACACCTCGTTTTTATTTTATTTTTTATTTTTGTTGTTTCTGAAGAAGAAGCAGAAGAAGAAGAAGAAAATTCCGTCTCAATGCCAACAACATCTACGATTATGTCTACGATTAAGCTGATTTCAACTACATCTTCTTCAAATGCGACTACGTCAATTAAAGTTATTGTTCCATTGATATCTACAACAACTTGAAGTACATATGCGACAGGTGTTTTGACATCTACAATAACTTTCTACGTTTCAACAGCAACTGCATCATCAACTGCAGCATCATCAACACCATCACAACCTCCAAAGGAGCTCCCTAAAAGCTTACATCGTTCATAACAGCAGTTTGCAACAACACGATCGTCGTCGTCGGCTGAGGTGTGTGTGTGTGTGTGTGCGGCGTTGGCAGTGCGCGATGGCAGCGGTGGCCGGCAGCGGTGGCCGACATCGGCCAGTGAGACGAGGCGTGGTAGTTTCGGGGGGGAAATAGAATAGAAGGGGCTTGGTGTGTGTCAAGAGGGTGGTGGGCTGGTGGCAAACTCATTGGAGCGGTCTGGTATGCTTGTGCGCGTGGTAGGTCTGTGTGGCGTACGTGTGTGACACAGGTTGAATGGCGCATCGGCACGTTCCCACGGCCGCTTCCGCGTCTGGGCCAGTGCCTGCCCCCATGCACACCGGCAGCAGCGAGCACCACCCGTCCGCCATGTCGGCGTCCAACTTTGTGGGCCGCTTAACACGCAAGTTTGATGGGTTCTGGGCCATCGCCATTGTGGCGCTCCCCGCCACCCTGCTGTTCCTGGCCCTCTGCAGCGCCCTTTTTACCACAACCCCGAGCCCGGATACGTTTCGCTCGTGCAATAACATCGAGTGCACCCTTCAGATTCCGCGCATTATCCACCAGACGTACAAGAACAAGAATCTGCCGGAATCATGGGCAGAGACACCTGCCATCTGGAAGGAGCAGCACCCCGGCTGGAGTTATGAGTTTTGGGACGATGAACGCAACCGCAAGTTCATTGCTGACAACTACGCCTGGTTCCTGCCCCAATTCGACGCATACCCCAACAATATCCAACGCGCCGACTCCATTCGCTATTTCATCCTCCTGCACTATGGCGGTGTCTACGCCGACATGGATATCCAGCCGATGCGCAACATTGAACCCATGCTCGGCGACGCTGAGCTCGTCCTCCCTGAGACCCCAAACCTGGGATTGACCAATGCCTTCATGGCTAGCGTTCCAAACCACCCCTTTATGAAACTTGTCACGGAGGAGCTCGGCCCGCACGCCAATCGCTGGTACCACTTCACGCGCCACTGGCAGATTCTTACCAGCACGGGCCCCACCTTCATCTGGAAGCTAGCTGATGAATGGGGCGGTCCATATCTTCGCGTGCCTGCCTCTGTCTGGGGCAAGTGCAAAATTTGCCAGTCCAGCTGCCCGGTTCTCCGCGACGGCTACCTGCGCCATCTCCACGGCGATAGCTGGCACAACTGGGACTCGTGGTTCTTCACCTACGTCATCTTTTGTCATCAGTATACCTTGATCCTGTTGGGCACCGCCCTCGCCCTCGCCGTGGCCATGCGTGCCAGCACCGTTGCCTGGATCCTGGCCCATCGGGAAATCGTCATGCTTAGCCTGGGCTGCTTTGTTCTTCTCATGTTCTTTCAAGGCTAACCAGAGGCGACCAGACTACCAGACCAAACCCCTTACCCCTCCCTGCTTCGGCGTCTACCCACGCGACGCCACGTCGCAGTCCTTGTTACTTGCCCTTGGATTTCTTGTCTTAAGATTGTCGGGTCAATGTGGGGCTATGCGCTTAAATTGTCGCCGTTCCCCATACCTGCCCATGCGAGCCGTGCTCGCGCTTTGTCTTGTTCTTTTGTTCAATGATTCTCATCGGACCCCAGTTGAAAGGGGCTGGCTCCTCGACCCCACCCCCCGGTTGTTTGTTCATTTGATGGCCACAAGGTGGCTTTGCGGGCCCACAATCGAACGTATCAAGCCTTTATGGAACTTCAATTCTCGTACTTGTTGCTCCTTGCCATTTTCCTCCGCCTAGAGCACAGCCAACCCGTCAACTCACGCCCAAAACTCAGATGTCTTCGCTACTGAGCAGCGGCATGAGCCCCTGGGGATCATCGTCCCGATTATCGTCGCCATCATACAACAAGGCTTGTTGCACGTGATGCAAGCACTCGTTGCGCGCTGAATCGTGGTCCATCAAAAAGGCAAACAGCCGCGTCTCGCTCGCCTCGGCTCGGCCCGGCAAGTGGACTTTGAGCGCCTGCCGGTGCTTGTCGGTTTTGCGGTCCGAAACGATGCTGCGCAAGGTAGCCCACGATGTGCGGTTGACGCGCCCGTCCTCGCCGGTGCCCCCTGCGCCAAAAATACCCGTGTGTCCGCTACTGCCAACTGAAGCGGTCTCCCCACGCCGACGCGAAGAGCGACGCCCTTCTGATTGGAGATGATAGAACCCCCAGCAAAGACTGGCTTGGGACGGTGTAACACCCAGAAATTCTTGCGGGATGTTGCCGGCGACAATGACATCGGCCAACTCAAAACAGTCCAGGAAGCGGTACTTGGGCAAGGTGAAAGCAGTCGGCAGCGCCTTGCGCTTACCTCCTCTCGACTCGCTGTCCAACAACTCCAACATGACAACCATGGTGCGAAAGACGAAGAGATACACCGGCACGTGGCGCCGGGGCTTACCACGATCGTCCACGCAATTGCACCACGTCATGCCGCTGTGGTACATCAACTGGTGGAAGCTCTGGCTCAAGACTAAACCGGGCACGTTGATGTTGATTTCATGTTCGAAAATCTCCGTGAGCCGCGTCATATCGTTGATGTGAGACGCCAGCCGCGTCAGACCTGACAATGCCTCTTGCACGTGCTTTTGAGTCGCCCGATCATAGTCCAGATGACTGGCCATCTCGCGCAGCAACAACGGATACTTGAGCACGCGCTGCACAGGCTTGATCAAGTAAGACGCAAAGCTTGTGGCTTGCTCCTGACTCGGGTTACGCGCTGCCAGCAGGGCCTGAAGCTCGTGGCGTTTGCGGTCGGCAACAATCTGTGCTGCCCGCGCATGACCACTGCAGTACCTTGCATAGACACGAAATTGGTCCAGGTTGTCTTCAAAGACTTGGGCGACCTTGGCCGCACATCGCTCTGTCACCTTGGACCGCAGCACTGCGTTCTCGTCCGCTGCAGCTTCCAAAAGCTCGGCGGTGGCTGCCTCTAGCTGCGACAACAGCTCGCTCTGACACGCGAGCAACTGCGATAAATTCCCGAGCACCACGGCCTTCTCGTCCCGTGTCAAGATGGTTTCCTTCATCAACGGCGCGATATACCGTGACTGCACCAGGTAGAGGTCTGCCACGTACGAGCGCTCTGTGTCAATGAGCTCTTGAATCGTGGCTTGGAGTTTATCGCGCTTGCGTCGGCGCTTGCGGTCGAGGTCGCTCAAAACATCATGCTGAATGCACCGGGCTTCGTGCTGAGACCGCTCAGTGCGGCTGCTTCGGCGCGAGCTGCGCCGCCGCACCATTGCGCGGGGCGATGCGCCGTCCTCGCTGCCCGCATCTGACACCGAGCTATGCCGCGATGATCCCGAGCCTCTGTTAGGCTCATGGCGGGGGATCGCACTCGAGCGTTCGTTGGCCCCCGTGTGCACGCCATGGGGCGGCTCCGTCATTGGCACGAGATCTGAACCAACCTCCGACCCACCAGGACTTTCAACATGCTCAGAGGTTGGGCGACCCTTTGATCGCGCAGTATGATCATTCTCTGCATCTCCCCGGTCTCGGCGCGGGGACAGTAAGGCGGCATCCTCAACCGTGAGCTGCTTCATCAGCTTGGAGACTTCGTCTGCACTACGCACAAAGTCTGTGACCTGCCGTACAAAATCAAGGCCAGAATGGGATTCGTTGGCCGCCATGATGTCTTCTGTACTCATGGCTGGGGGTGTTGGAGTAGATGCGCCCGGCCGCGAGCCCGCGTCCCCATGACCCAGTGTGTCGAGGCCCAAGCGCCCATCCCCTGGCAGCGATGCACCGTCGCCCATACCGGGACTGTTACCATGGCGCGGATGGCTATTGGAACGGCTTGGGGAGTTGCTCGCCAACTGCGGCGGCGGCGGCACCACCCAGCTATCAATGCGTGCGTGCAAAGTCTCGCCTGCACCCATTTGCGCTTGGCTGGAGGAGGCGATATTTGACTTTAGGTCGACGTGATTGCTGCCACGGTCAAAGCCCCCCTCCAATTCATCGGCCAGCACAGCTGGGGCCAGCACCACGTGCTCGTCAATGAGAGCGTCCAAGCCCTGATGCGCTTCATCGTCAACGACCTCATGCTTGGTGCGACGACTGCACTTCATGTCCATCATAATTTCTTGCCGTGCCTTGAGGCCCAGTATAATCTGCTTCAACTCCTTGGCCACGGCTGAGCGCTCATCCACGCGCAAGAGCTGGTCACCCACCTCGAGCCCACGCAAAGCAGCACGTGACGTTGCCTCTACGGCAACGACGAACACGCCGTCATCCGGGTATGTTGCAACGGTTCCTTCATCCAAACCCAAGGGACCCGAAGCCAAGTCCGTGTCTGCTGACTCTGTGTGCTCGGCACGCGCGGCCGCAATCATCTTGAGCAGCTTATCTTTTCGACCGAGCCGAAAACCAAGCGTTTCATCGGGCTGTGTTTTTTTCAGAACCAGGCGCCGAGTGGCTCGGACGGCCAACCGAAACTCCTCATGAGCATCAGTCACGACCTCGTCCAAGGGAAACCAGCGCTCCCGGCCTCGCTCGGTCACGAGAAGAAGCAGATCGGCCGGTACCATATTTCGCTTGCGGCACGCTGATTGCAACACATCAGCGCCTCGCACGCAGTTGGCACGATGTAAGGTCGTGTAGCCTTCACCGGGCAAGGCTACACGCACGTGATTTTGTAGCTTGACGGTGGCCTTGCGTCTGAGGCGCGCACTCTGGTGGGGCGAAGACTGCAGCAGGTACAACAAAGCACGGCAGCACGGGCGAGCATGGTAACATCAGACGGGTGACAAAGAGCCTAGCCGACCAAGACAACAGATCCGTGGCGAAACTGCCAGGCTTACCGCGTTGCTTCCGATGCTATCGCGACGCGAGGCTGACGGCGTGACGGAGGAGCCACCCGAGGCCCGAGAGAACTCTGTTCGCACAGACACATAATAGACGGCAGGGATGGTTGAGGCCCAGGTGGGAGGTAATTGAGCCTGCAAAGGGTGCCGTGATGAGAGAAAAATTGAGTCGGAGAAGTTGGTCACAAAGCTTTGTAAGACGGGGCAGGGAGGTGAGAGGGAGGTGCGCTGGCACGCACGCGAGTGCTGGGTGTGAGGCCAGCGAGCACATGCTGCACGCCCACGGGGCGGTCCGAGGCCAGGTCAGGGATCACGGTTGTAAACATTTGCAAGCGGTGAAGTTGAAGAAGAAGTTGCTCCCGGTGCTGCAGCAAGTATGCATCACTCGTATGCTGCAAGTCAAGCAGGTCGTGAGCCGGTGCATGAACGAACCTTTCCCGTGGCCTTTGGTGGATGCCGGGAAGAAAGAAAACGATCGAAGCATGGCAATGACCCGCCCTCACCTGTAGTTGTGTCATGCCAAAGTGCCGCTCAAGGTCTTGATATTCGTCTAGCGTCTGGCGCAGGGTCATGACACGATGGTGTCAGGCAACTGATTTGAAGAAGCCCAGCAAAGGACAAGGGCAGTCCAAACCTCTTGGATGGCATCCACAAGAGCATCACGGAGCTGCTGGGTACCCTTGATGCTGCCAAACTCTTGTTCGAGCATGAGTTCGAGAAGATGGGTGGCAAGTCTGGCAGCGGCAATGGTGGAAGGAAGCTGCAAGCGTGGATGAAAGGAAAGATGTGAGTTGCGTCGCTTCACCATGATGGCGTAAAAGAAGCTTGAGGAATACAAATGAACGAAAAAAGATGCACCTTGATGGCAAGAAGACCCTTGTGCAGTACTGCGAGAAGTACCACATCGGCATGCTCGCCATGCTGGCCAACGCAGGCGTTCCGCAAATCTGTCAACCAGAGGAGATAAAGGCAGAAGAAGAAGAAGAAGAAAAGAAGCAGTGAGCGCGCTCTGCCTTCAGAGATGGACAAAGACATTGTAGAACAAACCATGTGCTTGCAAGGACAGGGCCAGTTCAGAGTTTCTGATTAGCGCAATCGGATCATCCAGCCGACCGCGTGCCGTGACCCATTCAAGATCACTCCACGATCCTGCCTGCAAAAGTTGGTATAGTGCTTGTGAGACGCGATTTATAAACAACCCAGGCGCTGGCTACTCGGACTTTCTGACGCCAAAGGAACGCTGAAGTGGGACGGGAAAAGACATCAAGAGGCGCCAGGTTGAAGAACAAGGCTCAACATACCAAAGGCGCGTCTGCATCGGGCTGGTCGTGAGAGGGGGCGTTGGCGCGGGCAATCCATGCGATTTGCACAGCATCTGTGCCGGGCTGACTGTTCGGTGTCGTTGCAGGCCCGGGGCCAGCGCTTAAGGTCGCGGGATCGATGGTCTGCTTTAGCGTGATCGACTTGCGATGTGGCCTTGCAGGCTGCAGTCGGGTGTCGGGGGTTACAGCTTTTGCCGCGGCAGCAGGGGATGACACCGGAGTGCTACTAAGCGTGGATGCGGGCCGACGATTCAGTTCTTGGATGTGTGCCTCCTGGTCTTGATACGCCGCTGCTACGCACAGCATGAACTGGACAGCGTCATTATATAGTGAGTGAGCCAGCCACCATCAGGCAGGTGTGAGAGTCAACGGACAAAGCTGTACATCAGCCCGCACCTCGTTGGCGTCGGGGGCAGAGATGAAGTTCAGACCGAGGATACGATGCTGTCGCTGCTGGCGATATAGCACGAAGATCTGGCTCGCCATCTCCAACAACACGCCTGATGATAGGGGTAGCATGAGGTAGGGATGAAGTCAAGAAGCATACGAAGGGAGAGCCATCCTGACGCACCAGGTTCAGCCAGGGCAAGATCTCGAAGGAGCTCGCCATGCTGGGCAGTCTGAAGTTGCAGCCGGTAGCATTGGCCCATACGACGGCGAATGGGCTTGCCGTGCTCATTACGTAGCTGAATGGTCAACGGCGCGAACTGGGAGAGCAAAGAATTCACAGTCAACAAGTGAGCTTGGTGTGCTTTGTACTAGGACCTTGAGCTTTGAGTATGCCTGGAGACCAGCATCGTTATTGCCCTTTCCAAAGCAGACAAGAAGAAGAAGAAGAAGCAGAAGAAGAAACAAACAAACAAACAGCGCCCGGCGCGCGCGAGCTGCCGAGGAATGATGCTCGGACCTTGAGGAGATAGATCTTGGCCACGACCAGCTGATCGGCAATGGGCTGCCAGTGCTCTCGCTCGCCCTGATCATCCAGTTGGAAGCATTCGCACACAAGCCTGTGTTCAGAGCCGGGCCGCCATCACATGCAGTGTGAGATGTGCTGGCGCAGAACGCCACCAGCCAGCAACCCGCGAGCGGACGTACTGCGCGCAGAGCAATTTCTGTTCAATGCGATGATCATTGGGCAGAAGGTGCGCCATATTGGCGCCTCAGCCTCTGGTAGCCAACGCGCCACCAGCCAAGTTGTCCGCCCCTGATGGGCGTAAACCGATTCCCCCTCCTACTACCGCCGCCGCCGCCGTCTTCGTCGAGTCAAGAGCTCACA